ACACACCACCACACCCACACACCACCACACCCACCCACCACCACGCCCATGGGTGGGCTTTTCTACCCAAGGCCCCACACAGTTCCACCCGCGTATGGGTTTGCCCGCCCACAAACGTGCTGGGCGTGCTTGTTTCAAAGGCCTAACGACATGGCCGGCGACTTGTAATACAGCAGGACCATGATCCAGATCCTTCTTCTTTTCTAAGCCATAGAAAACTTGCCTTCTTTTTTATTAAGCCCATCTAAAGGTAAAAAAAAACAGAAATCAAACCGTGGAGTGAGTGTTCAAAAATACTCTGCTTCTCTTATAAACTAGTGCGGTGCGTGCTGGGTGCATTGAGACAGAGATAGAGAAAGGTCATGCGTGCAGTACGTAATAAAAAGAGGATCTACCTGATCCGCAAGCTCTTGCACTACTCATAAAGCTCTTGGACAGTAGTAGCTTTATGTAGTACCTCCAAGAATAAAGCAGAGCTCTTGGAAGTATTCGAAAAACTACAATAACCGACACCGAGTGGGAAAGGTAGCTTAACATGATCAAGGCTACTCTTCCTTCTCATCAGTATCTCGGTTATTCTGATCAGTTACTTGCTTATTTCAGTTTTTCGAATAGTTGTAGCATTTTTGTGACTCCTCTATTTCTTTACCTCATCCACACCTGTTAAGAAGTAGTAAGTAAAAATACTACAACTCATCAGAAGTAAGCAAAACTCAAGACTTCATCAAGGATGGGGCTAAGTCAGTAGCTCTCGTAGAAGATCAAGACTTCACTCGCGGCTCATTTCAGTTTCTATTCGAATATCTACTGCGGTACAACTAGTAACTCATCTAATTCTAGCAGCACAGGAGCAGCTAGGAGTAGGAGACAGAGCGAGCGAGAAAGAACTTATTAATACGAACTATCGAGGCCATCGCTTGCACTATCTCCGCGGCAATGATGATAGTCGTGACCATCGTGATCGAGATTACGGATTGTACTGCCAAAAACCCATCTTTCACAGGAGTCCTGGCGAAGAAGTAGGTCGAGGAGCCCTGGCGAATGATCATGCTCAACAAAGAGATCATGGGTTTTTGGGGCCGACCTCTAAAAAGACGAGGGGACGACAAGTACTAGAGATCCTCAAACACGAGCGAGCCTGCTCCCAATGCAGCAACGACACAATGACCATCTCGCTTCTCACGTGGCGAGGATATCCACTACTGGCGAAGAAGTAGGTCGAGGAGGGCCGCGGCAGAAGCTTCTTGTTGATTATGCTGGTTCTTCGGGAGGCTCTCAGCCAGCGGCCTGGCAACTTGGTGGTGGGGGCGACTTCGCGCGACCGCCTGGCAACTTCCCTTCTTCATTGCAAAGACGACAAGATGGTCAGGGACGTCGCCACCTAGATGATGGAGGAGACTTACAACCAAGGAACTCGATCCAGCCGGCCGCGCGGCACAACTACAACTAAGAGCTTCCACATTTCATCCTGCTGCACTTCCATCTTACTTATACTTGACTTGTTTCATCCCTCCAATAGGAATTGAAAGAAGTCAAGGATGTTTTGAAGAACCGCTAATACTGCTCGGGTAAAGCTAGAAGCGAACGCGCGCGCGCTGTAGCAGCCTTGAGGGCTCAGCAGCAGATCAACAATCTAAAAGACGAGGAGGCAAGATTCGGACGGGCAGCTGATGAGCAAGACACCTCAGCTAACTTACGGCGGAGATATTTTTTTTCACGACCATCAAGATCGTCCTCGTGGCGCCAGCACCATTATTTAATGTCGCCCTTTTGTTTTCCTTCTACCTTGACTTCAAGAACAGGGTTAGCAATGTATGCTGCAACTTCAACAACTCGTCTTTTGTTTTCCGTTTCAATTCTGATCTCATTTTTTTATGCATCTATTGTGTTGGCGGGTGTTATCGTCAGTTGTACGCAGTGCATTGTCCCTCCTAGATGAACCTGGATGAAGCCACATTGACAGACACTCTTCATGTTCAGCGCCAGGTGGCCAGTTATTCCTGCCTCACTTCGATGATGACGGAGGACCGCGCCCCAGGTATCGCCCTCCGAAGTTGAACCGCCCAAAACTAGAAGTCCATGAAAAAAATGTCTGGTACTCGACGCAGGAGGATGCAGCTTCTTCTTCTTCGTCAATTATGGTCCACATTTACAGTGTCTGCTGTGGCCATCTCCTGTTTCTCAGCATTTTTTTTGGTACCTGTTTTTCGGAATTTTTATTCTCATGAAATGACATTACATTTACAATGGACGACGAAGAGGCATAGTCGAAATTCTCCACATTTTCTCATGAAATATTACAATTACAAGGGACTGACTTAAATATCAAAGACAACCAGGGAGTACTTCACACTCCACATTACGAGGGAAGAGGCGTGGTCGAATTGAGCACGGCGTCGGAGACCGAGATGAATACAGGCGGACTCTAATTCAGGGAACATCAATGCGGTAGGGAATAGTAAAGTCTCCACTTTACATCGAGGGCCAGCACCTGCGGATGTTGTAGTTCCTAAAGGTAATACAACAACAACAACTTCTAAGGTAGACGAGGAACCAGAAATACAAAGTACAAACGGTAAGAACAGCGTCTACCTCTTACCTGAAGAGCAGAAGGAAGGAACAAATAGTGCAGCTGCCTTAGTCAGCCTCTCTTTAGATGAGAGGCTGACTAAGACTATGAGACCCTCCTCTAGAAGTTGTGCCAGAAAAAATACTGGTAATGGTAGTTCGTCTAGTTGTAGTACAACAACCAGGAACTTCTTATACGACCAACGGCTACCATCTACCAGTAATCGAAGCCAGCCACTCCAACAACAAAAAACACGAAGTGCAACCTTTAAGGCCTTTGCAATCCGGTGGAAAGTGTAATGGGTTTTTTATTTCAACTTGCTCAACAAGATCAAGAACGTGAAAATTAATGCCTTACTACACTCTTTGGATAAAAATGCTATTTCAGGAAGCAATCAACAAGTGATCAACTGCGTATTTGAGTTTGACTAACGGACCTACAATCTATGCAGCTTCACCTTTCTCTTTATGGCTTTTGCAAGTGTAATGTATAATATAGGTTCCAGCTGCATAGTACTGTGGACAAGCTTTAGAGTGCATTACTAGAGTCTACTGTACTTCTTTCTCTTTATGGTTTGCAGTACTAGTATACTAGGGTCTTTATATAGAGTTCTGTCTATATTATAGAGAGTCTTTATATAACTTATGTAGAGTTCTCTTTATGGGATCGAGTGGAAAGTATAGTACAGTAGACGCTCATGCGTTCCAGCTGCACTTTTTTCTAATAAGACCTCTCGGGAACAACCAGGGCAGCCGCGTGGTGAACTACCCGGCATCGGAGCGAGCGCCTTAATACCGCGAAAGCATGATTGAAAAGACACATGAGGAAATGCAAAAGCAAATAATCAAAAGAAAAGCAAAACCTTGCAACACATGAAAAAGACAATTCACCCTTACTCCCGCCCCTTCAATTAGACAATACCTCGCGAACAGGTAAATGGATGGATGGATAGAAGGTCCACTCCAAAGAAGTAGACGTGAGGATTATAAGAAACTTGAATCTCCTGCGAAAGGGTTCGTTGCAGTAACAAGAAAGCGCTGTCGTGAAGATAAGTGAAAGCACAGTTGATGTAACTCTATAAGCTAAGAAGTAAGTATTCAGTAGAGGGATTTCGCCTTGGCGATTGTTGTTGATGTCGTCGTGGTACTATATTAACGTGGTGACAGTATCAAGGTTCTCGTTCATTGTGAGTAGTATCAAGGTTCTCGTTCATTGTGAGTAGTTTCTGAGGTCGTTTTCAAATTTTTGTGTGTTATTTGTGGTTTAGTTTCTAAGCATTAGAATCTAATGGTAAAAAGTACTAAGGTAGCAGCTCTAGTGTCTGTAGTGGTTGTACTCTTATCAGATACAACTAAGAGAAAGAGTCCTAGAGTTGACTGCTCGTGCGGTGCTTAACGATGATCTAGACCGAAGTTAATTAGCAGAAACATCCCCTGCATCTCTCGCAACTAATCTTAACTCACATTGATGGCGCATCATGCCTATACGCTTACCTTGTCGCAGGTGAGCTAACTCCTATCCTATCCTACTGGTTGTTTGGGAGGTAGAGGGATGGGCATATTAGCGGCACAGGCTTAATCCGAGCATGTGATTTGTGGTGCGTAATTTATTCATCACTATTTAGGAACTACAACTGCTATGATCTTCATCTTGTCGCTTCGTCGCTTGGGGTAGTAGTACGAACACTACTTCTGCTCTGAAAAGTTTCTGCTTTAAAATATAACGCTTCGCAGTGGCTAATAAGTATCGCGTTATAAGTTTAAGGCTGCCATAGTTGAGACGCATGGCGAAGATGTATTATTCCGAGAAACAAGGGTCATCTCGTTGATGTGCAAGTCTCGAATCCCGGGTTCTTTTTTCCTAATCAAAAAAGGACACGGAAGGAAAGGCACTCAGTAGGTTGTAACTCAACATTGTTTTCTTTATTAGGGAGTACATGATTCACCTAAGGCGCTTAGTTCCGATAAGTAAAGTAGAGTAGGACAGTAATAGGCTCTTATGATTGAAAACAGTAGGTAGGAGATAAAACCAATAGAGCAAATCACTTTTTCCCAAGAAAATACAAAACCTAGCTGTGGGAAAGTTTTCTTTTTGTCTTAATCCCGGGATCTTTTTTCCTATAATCAAAACGAATGAGTAACAGTTCCGAGATCCGTGGATTCGGCCTCACTCGTGCAGGCAGGACTGCTGTGACGTGGCGTTCAGCCCAGATGAAGGGTAGCCGCCGTCGCCCATTGAATTGAGGCCCGACGAAGGCAACTAATATACCAGGGCGGGTCTTACCTGAGCTGCATTGAATGGAACTATAGCGGGAAATTGTAGACCCAGGTCCAAAGAAAAAAAGGCTCGAACCGCGAACGTGAAGGAATGAGTCTAGCCCTCCTGCTTATCATGATGCCGTGTACTCGATGAAGGCGATTCGCCGGCCTTGGCCAGCTTCACATCTTCTACTAGGATATCTTTCATTTACCCCATTTCTTTGCAAATTAATTTGTGGATTGACCCCAGTCCGTGATGTCTTTTAACTTTTCTTGCACACTTGCAACTTAGATTAGCTCATCATCAGAGTTTCTTGTACTTACAAGTTTTGACTTTCAGCAAGACCAAAGAACATGTACTAGATGCGCAGTTTTATTGTCATAATTTTTTTCCGAAGATGAAAATATAGAAGTGGTTGGCGCGGCGGCGCCATATACAACTTTGTGTAAGCTAGTAAATGATAATACGTCCTTGGTGGCGATTCTTGAGAGTCCTATGGATTCGCGCTACGAAGGTGTCTTCAGCTTCTACAGAAATGTTGTACTTAGGTTAGTTAAATCTCATACATACTATGATGTAGCCTCATCTTACATTATGTTCTTGTGTCGGTACTAGAAGTCGTCTTGTCTGTCGTGTTTGTGAAAAGTGCGTAAATTTGTGGCCCAATGAACATATGTTGTGCCTGTGTGGCGAGCCATCGGCCTCCAAAATGAGCTGTACTTCTCTCCGTTTGCAAAGGATCACTTAAAGAACAATAGCCCTGCATTGTCGTTTGCAAAGGATCAAGAACATAAAGAAACTTATCGCGAAAATACACAGGTCGACCTGTTTGGAGTTTGATGTAACACGAGGGACTGGCGGTCTCGAATGTAGAACGTTGAACGTGTGAGTACTGAGAAAGCTTTACAAGAGTACTCTACAGAAAAGTAGGATCACCTGAATCTTCAATTCTCTCGGGGTAAATCAGATAGAGTCCACCATGGTGGCTATGTAAACGCGCTAGGTTTTCCACAACGATTGCCGTCGTGCTTAATCGTTTGCGTCGTTTTAAGTGCCTGGCTGTCGTGCTTCAGGCCTCTCGCGGGGTGGTATGAAATAAAAGCGAGACCTGTAGACCCAGGTAACAAAATATAAGGAAATAATCGGCCTCCACCTGCCGCCGGTTTGCGAACTGGATAAAACTGGGATCATCCTTCCGGCGGTCTTGGCATACAAAAAAAAACCAAAAAAATGGCCCGGGTGGAGCACATGGGTGAGTGAATGAGTTCATTCTGGCTTACATTCTTACATACTCCTTCTTACTTATTACTTTCATACTTACTTACTAGGCTACCACAACTTGTTGACCTTCCCAGCGCCGAATGATTAGATAAGATCAAGAAAATGGTCATCCCCTACTTTGGACCCCCTACGTTGGCTGAGCACAACGCTCAGAAAACATGGGCGGACACTGCCTTTCTGATAGCGACAAGAGCAGAGGGACGCAGTCTAATCTCGCCGAAGAATAGTAGCAAGGTCGAGGAAAAGAAATTATGGCTTACCCTATTAATGGTCCATATTCAGATAAACGAGTTGATATTTTCAAAAAACACCATACTACATGCAAACAAAAGAAGACTGAGATGATGAAGTAATAACCAAAGATAGAACGAAGAATAATCCCTCTCCCCCATGCACACAGGTAGCCCCTATACCTCACGAATAGGTACATCGATCAATCAATCAATCAATCAATCATCTTGGAGTTATAGTCGGCTCTATATCAAGGGGACAGGAACAGCTCCAAGAAGATGTTGAGTATCAATTTACTTATCATGCATTTTTTGGGTGACCTCTAAAGAAGTCTGGCCTTCTTGAACATCAGGAACAAAATGTTGAGGCGAACGCTACTCGTAATTCTGCGGCGAATTTGCGACGTCAGCAACGGATTAAAGAAAAAAAAATAAAAAGTGGGACCGCGACCGTAGAAAACATTGCCGCAGACGCCGGGTCTGCTACTTCAGTTAAGACTGCATCAAGAACATCGGTTAAAGCTTGTTGGTCACGACATCAGCGAAATTCGTGGAACTCAAAAGAGATCCAGGGAAGTCGTAGGTCTAATCCAGGGGAAGTCGTTTTTTGATTTTGTCTAATCTAGGAGATGAGGTTGTTGACGCTGGAGTTCCTGACGCCGAGGAAGATGAAAATGCTGCTGGCGAATGGTCTACGAATGTTGAAGACGCCCATACTTCTGAAGTAGAAGAGGATGCCGCTGAGGTCAATGATTATGTGTTGTCGTGTCGAAGCATTTCATTTCTACAAGCCTAAGGCAGCTTGTTGGAGCCTTTTTGTTTTCCACGACTGCATCTCAATCGGTGCAGCTGAACATTAGAGTGAATTCTTTTTGGATATTAGTTTATGTTGGTCAATGGTCATTACTGGCTCAAGATCCAATGAATGAACCTGATTTCAATGCCAAATGACTGCTCTCACTCGTCACCTTGATCATGATCAATACCGTTCCTTGTCTTGAACTCTTGTTAGTTCCTCGTATGATCATCATTTGAACTCAATGAATTCCAACATGAATTAGCAGCAAGATCTCCCAGATCTTCAACTGCACTATGACCCTTCATGATATCCCAATGACATTGAACCCATTTTGATACCATTTCAGGGCCTTAAACAGTCAGTGATCATTCGGCACGTCCGTTCTGATCGTCTTTCTGTTACATTGCAACGATAATCATTCCATTTACTCTCAAGAGCCTCATATTGCGCTTGGACGTGTTCGGGTGTTCCAACACTGTTTCAAGCCCTTGAGCCTTACCTTATTAAAGAAATTGCTAGTCAATACTTTGTAGAAGTAGAGAAAACAAAGTCGCATTATTTGCGCCACAAAATGCCCGATATGAGTCTTGGAGAGATTTCACCCAAACTGGGACAGAAATCTGACTGGCGTGACTGGCTTCGAGCGGTAACGCAAGAAGCGGACCGCCTGGACCTAGTCCAATACTTCAACAACGTGCTGAACGGCAATGCGGCAGGGATTCCGAACCAACCCAACAACAACGACCGCAAGCTCCAGCAGAATTGGCGAGATTTGAAGAACGTGATCATCAAGTCGCTCAAAGGTGCAGCCGCAGCACATATGAAGGATCAGGATACCACTGTAATGAACGCTGGTGAAGTGGTAACAAACCTCCGTGACGCTGGTTTCAGTCAAAATGACCGCACAGAGCAGCGAATCTCTGCTAAAGCGTTGGAAGGGATGCATTTCACGAACAGTGATTCTCCTCCAGACGTTCCAACATTCTTGGCGAAGGTTAGAGATGTCATGAACCAATCTCCGACCGTATACCCGCCGGAAGTTGGTGTGGCTGTTGCTGATCAACAAAACGGAGCAATCCTCGACATTCTGCCAAAAATGTTTTCCAAAGCATTTCGACAGACAATCGAGAGGATGCAAGAAGATGAACATCTAACGTTCGTCCAAATCGGTGACAGACTCACGAAACGGCTTCAAAGTTTGATTGACTCTGGTGAGTACAAGATCGAGAATCCATCTTTCGGCAAAGCTTTTCCAGCTGTCGAAGATTCCGATGATGAAAACCAGAACAATAACAAAACCAAGAAGCGTAAACGTCAAGATGAGAGTGATGACGATGGTAACGCGTTTGCCGCTCTCAAGAAAACAACGATCAAACGACTTCGCAAGAAGATTCGCAAAGAAATCAAGAACGAGGTCTACGCAACAAAAGGAAGTGGAAAGAGTAGTAGTAGTAGTTCTAGTAGTAAGAAGAACAAAGGAAATGGCAAAGGTAAAGGTGCTAAGAACTCAAATCCTAATGAGGGCATCCAGTGCAACTATTGTCACAAATATGGACATAAGGCGCACAAATGCTGGCTAAACCCGATGAGTCAAAGCTACCAACCTAACAAAGCCATGGGCAGCAACTTCTTCAACAATTCATACAACTGTTGGCCGCAAGGTAACACTATCCCTCCGTGGCACCAGAACAACTATCCACCGCAACAAAGTGGAGGAAAAGGATTCGACAACGGTAACCCACAGCAGCAATGGGGTGGACAACAACCACAACGCTGAGTCGAAACCAATCCGGAATGGAATGGATATGGGAGACGAGATGGACAGTCCCAAGATGAAGAAGAATTGGAAGAAGATTTCCAAAATGAGGATGGAAAATGTTCGCTGAACTTGGAAGAAAACTTTGAGAATAAAGAATATAGAAGTGAACTGCTTAGGGATGAAAGCTATATGATTGACAATCACTCAGGTTGCTATCTTAGTGCAAATCAAAGCAAAACAGTTTCACTTGTTGACAGTTGTGCAAATAAGTATTTGTCTAGCCATCGTTCCGATTTCAAGAAAATTAGCCACCGGCTTTGTCATATTAGTGGCACTGCTGGAAAGCGAAGTGGGAACCTAGGTAGACTAAAAGAAAACAAACTAGGATTAAAATATGGCGTACACTTTGAACACTTACCAAAAGCCATAGATCGCATTATACCGTGGTTAGGTGAAGGAAACTGTCATGAAAAGGGTTGGCAAATGAATTTCACAGAAAGTGGCGGAACGTTGTACAATACTCGCTCCGGCCGCTCTCTACCCATAACAAATTGCCCCCAGATGCAGTTACCTATTCTAGGCTGTGACATGTTTAGCAAAGAAGAAAATGAAACTGAGGAGGATATAGTATGCACTAGTATAGAAGAAGCTAGACTTCATTCACAAGCTTCAAGATTAGACATACATCGTAGACTTGGTCACTTTCACGTTGATGGCCTTAGTGTATCTTGTCCAGAATGTGATCGAACCAAAGGTCAAAGACGCTCTCATGCAAAAGTGAGACCCCCTGGACATATACCTTCTCCATTGAAAACACTTGCAATTGATTTCGCAGTTGGTATTAGACCAGTATCTATAAGAAGCAAAAGATGTGCTTTAGTCATTATTTGTGATTCGATTAAAATGTGTTTCGTTCGTCCTCTTTGCCTCAAGTCGGACTGCGTAGAGGTGATTGAAGAAGTAATAAAAGGCATTCGCCAGGACTACTCATTGTCACTCGACGACAAGGTGGTGTGGTTCATCCGTAGAGATAACGAACCCGTCCTAAGTAGTGACCATATGACCAAAGTCATGCAATCGCTACTGGTTTCGGAAATTCCTGGAGTTCCTTACAACCCAGAAATGAACGGAACTTGCGAACGTTTCATGCGGACCATTTTCGGTGCTGTACGTACCATGTTGGTCAAAGTCGACCGACGTCTTTGGTGTTACTGCTTACAGTATGCCGGAGATTGTTGGAATCGCTTACCGCATCGTTATGCAAAAATGCCAGAACGTGATGGAATGAGTCCTGTCGAGATACTAGAAAAGAGGATAGGAAAGAAGTCCTCGAAAAGTGGTCTAGGTATGTTAAGAAGATTTGGTTGCTTGGTGTACTTTCGTGAACAGGTCGTAGACACCACCAACAAGAAAGAAGCAAAGCTTGCGTCACCTTATCGGCGTGGTGTGTTTCTCGGTCTGTGTCCAGTTTCGTCTGGTTGGCTAGTAGGTACATATCACAACGATGGGAGAACGAAAGCTGGCTTCAAGTGGAGTGAGTATTCCACACTAGACGTAAAATTTCGAGAGTCGATATTAGTCAAGAACATTGATTGGCTATTGCCTACGTCGAAGGGCATTTATGTTGATTATGACCCGCTGGAAAACCTGCAGTCTGGCACGCCGTCGCTGGGTCCCGTCCTGCACAGACATGCGCTGCAACGTATGGCCTGTCAGCCGCGCTTCTCTGGCACGGAGTACAGCTCAGGCGATCCAACCGGCATGGAAATGATACTAGATAACAATGACATTGGTGAGTTTTTCTGTGAATCTTTGGACAAAGAGGAAGATCCAAAGACCGGTGATGATTCCAACTCTGACGCGCAACGCGTTGAGGAGGGGAATATCTCATCGGAGCGTGTGTCGCCTGACTCTAATCCTGAAGCAAGGGATCCGAGGACCTTACCCATTCCACCATCTCAACCAGGCAAAGTTGAGGAGGGGAAGAAAGGCCGAGGAAGACCTAAAGGGAGCAAGGATAAGAATCCAGGACAACGCAAAAGAAGAACAAAAGCCGAGCTAGAAGCATTAAGAAAAGACATGCATAAATTTGCCATGCTAGCAGGCGGGCATGAGCTGGAAGAAGGGGAGACCTTTCTCGAAGCACATGTCATGCTGTCAGTTTCCCAAGCCTTGAAAAGCCCTGACGCCGAGAAATGGCGTGCAGCTATCACCAAGGAGGAAGCTAGACTACTTGCCTTTGAGACTTGGGCGCCAGCTACTGACGAGGAGCTGCGAACCTCTTCTCAGGTAATGCCTATAGCAATCGTTCTCACGGTAAAACGTGATGGAACTTTCAAAGCTCGTGCTTGTGTGCTCGGGAATCTTGATCGTTCGGGGAATATCGACACCTACGCCCCTGTAGTGTCACATGCTGCGAATAGACTTTTACTCGTTTCAGCAGCGACGGACTCTGACTTCGTCATCCCATTCGACCTTGATTCTGCGTTCCTTAATGCTGAACTCGATCGTGACGTCTTCTGCCGTCTTCCACCAGTGTGGGCGGAGAAGCATGGAGCGGATATCGTCAAGCTTAAGAAAGCTCTCTATGGGCTCAAGGACGCTCCACGAGCCTGGTTCAAGAAGTATTGCGTGCTATTGTCCGAACTCGGATGGGAGCCGTGTCCTTCTGCTCCAGGATTGTGGCGGAAAAAGAGCAAAACGCACCCAGGAAAGTATATGAAGATGTCAGTCTATGTTGATGATAACTTAGCTACTGGACCTGACTATCACGAGTTACGGTCTGAGCTCGACCGGATCTTTAGTCGCGCCCCTGGCCGACCTATTGAGATGGCAAAGCGAGTCGATTCTCTTACGGGTTTCGAATGGCTAGAGTTCGACTTTCTTGGTGCGATTGTGCACTATTGTCGGGAAGCACGTTCAGTGAAAATCCTGATGAATGTGTACATAGAGAAGACTATACAGAAGTATAAAATAACATTAGGTAAGCCGGTGTGGTCTCCAAATTTCGACGAGTCTGCTTTGCTTGAGGAGGGGCTTAAGCTAGCAGCCGGGTTTCCATTGCGTGAGATTGTTGGCGCACTGCTTTGGATATCGACAACCGCAAGGCCAGATATTTGCGTCCCTGTGGCGACATTGGCTCGGTATGTCAGTAAGCCCGTTACAGAAAGAATTGCAAAAGCCTGTAGAAAAGTATTAAAGTATCTAGCTACGACAAAAGACCAAGGACTCTATTATTCTCCAGAAAGTGAGGAAGAATTCAACGGAATTTACAAGAAGCTCCTACCAGAAGGAAGAGAGCTACCGTATACTAACTGGTTCTCAGATGCAGGATTCGCAAACTGCATAAAGAGCATGCGCTCGACCAGTGGTTCGATTATGTACTATCGGGGCTTTCCAATCTGTTGGAAACGCAATACACAAACCGTGCGTGCATATTCAACTGCAGAGTCAGAGTATATAGCCGCGTCGGACACTATTGTCATGAGCGAGCTGCATGATTTTACAGATTTCTTCAATCCCTTACCCACTCAATTAGTGGAAACGCGGTTTGGTATATCGCCATCCCTCGATGATGCCATATTGTGGATAGACAACCAGTCTGCAATCTCGACAGCAAAGAGTGAAGACACGAAGCCTAAGAGTAGACACTATGCGTTACGTTATTTACGAGTTAGAGACGCAGCTGAGAAAGTAGTTTTCTGTCCTACTCACCTCATGAAAGCTGATGGACTAACGAAACTTTCATGCTCATCTACTCAACGCAGATTATTATTACATCACATAGAGAATCCAGTCATTAGCCGTAACCATGATGAAGATGATAGTGACTCGGAAACGGAAGATGATGAGTCTGGTTCAAGTTCTGCTTCCGTGGCGGTGCTTACCTATTCTATCTTCTTAGGGTGTTAGGTCGTTGGTCAAGTGGTGACGTCAGTGGATATAGAGAATCGTGATGGTTCTGGGTCAGAGCAGGTAACACCAGACCGTTTGTGACTTTCGTCATTTCCTCACCTAGCGATTGAGGAGGGGTGTTGGTCAATGGTCATTACTGGCTCAAGATCCAATGAATGAACCTGATTTCAATGCCAAATGACTGCTCTCACTCGTCACCTTGATCATGATCAATACCGTTCCTTGTCTTGAACTCTTGTTAGTTCCTCGTATGATCATCATTTGAACTCAATGAATTCCAACATGAATTAGCAGCAAGATCTCCCAGATCTTCAACTGCACTATGACCCTTCATGATATCCCAATGACATTGAACCCATTTTGATACCATTTCAGGGCCTTAAACAGTCAGTGATCAATCGGCAAGTCCGTTCTGATCGTCTTTCTGTTTCATTGCAACGATAATCATTCCATTTGCTCTCAAGAGCCTCATAGTGCGCTTGGACGTGTTCGGGTGTTCCAACAGTTTACAAGTCAGTGCTTTAGAGTGAATTTTTGCTGCATCAACCTACTTTAAGATAAGGAGGAGGAAGAGTGGATCCTTTGTTACGTCTGGGAGACGGTCGGAAAATGCGCAAACAGAATCTCGGAAAGAATACTGTCAAATTCTGAGCAGTTGCGTAACGACATTTTGCCGGAAATCTCTTGTAAGGCTGCAATTTCACGATGTATCTCAAAGACAAGACTAGTGTCGTAAGGAGCGGGATGATCATTAACTAGTGCCTAGGTCTAAGTCTGCCCTAGTTAAGGCTGCAGAGGCAGAGCTCAAGCAACAAGCTGAGCTGCGTGCGGCACTCTCTGCAAAGCGTGAGGAGTGGCAGGAGTGGGAGCGCTGCGTCGATTCAGTAGAAAAGTTAAGACTTCTTTTATTTGATAGAATGACAGCAGCAGGGAGAGAAGATGAAACAGAAAGTGAAGTTGTACACAAAATTCTGTATATAAGATCATCGAGAGATGAGGTCAGGTGTACAACTAGAATAAGCGCAACTTTTGTCAACATCTACTAATCTCTCGTTTGCAAGGGGAAGGTGAAGATGATGGATATCCACATCAAGGACAAGCTGTTGGACAGCCTATAGGCTTTGTGGTCTCGTCTACTAGGAAGCAAAGAACGCGAGGCAAGACAGACTCGTCCGCGTCTGATTTAGATGGCCCGAACACAAGTAAAGGAGGAGCAATAGAAGTCTTCGATGTCGATAACTACAACTTCAAGGTAAGGCGACAAGAGATCCGTCTTCGCAGGGCATCTTGTTTCCGTTTTTAAAGGGAAAATGGGGCCCAAGATGTTGCTGGAGATGGGCCCTTTTTAGTTTTAATGAAGCCGCAGAGACCAAAGGCAATACGGGATCGATTTCTGCGGTCTCTTAACGACGAAACTGAATATAATTTCCTCAAAGGTTTGTGGATGGCTTTTCGAAGCACACAGGATCAATCTCTCTACTTTCATGATCTGAATGTTCCACATGAGAATTTCCGACCGCTGGTTGGCCACGCGCTAGGGGGAAACTCGTCAGAGAGGCACTATAATTAAGGCTTACTAGACCGTGACTCATTTTCGGAATGAGGGAGCATCTCTGACGCCTTGATTTTTAATTGAAAAGCGACCGATAACAACAGAGACAACAGCGAGCACGCATGCTCTGGCTCTGCAAGGTGAATATGGGAACTGCTAAGTGTGCAGGCAAACGCCTAAACCACTAAGCCAACTGATAGATCGCAGCGTCGCTTCCGTCTATATTGAAAGCCCCGCGCCTTGGCAAAACTCCTATATTAGTACTCTTCTTGATGTGGCCGTCTCTCATTTTAAAAATCTATGTCGCGCCTAGCAGTTGGCCTAGTGGTTTAGGCGTTGACCTGTAGTACCGGGGTGGGCAGTTGGCTTACTGGTTCAGGCGTTGACCTGTACCCTTATCAGGAACCGAGTCTCCATCGTCTAATACAACTACGACGGCTCAGAGAAGTATGACCCAGCATCACATCGAGAGGATGTCCTGAGACACGAAGGGGCGCCTCTGGAAGACCGAGTGCGCTACGCGGTGGTGGCGGAGCGAGCCGCGAAAGACACTGCAGTTAAGGCCGCGTGAGAAAATCCATCTTTCCTAGCATTTTGATGACCTCACTTCGAAGGCGGGAAATATAGGGATAGCACCAAGAAGATGCTGCTCGGCAGCGTCTTTTTGAAAGGAACTACTCTATATACTATTTATAAGGTCGTTAATACAGTACCAAGAAGATGCTGATCGAGATGGATTTTTTCGTCAAGGTTCGTTACCTCCTAATGCAGAATGGCTTTACGAGTATCAAGCAGCTCGTATGAGGCATCTACCGCTGCCTGAGCAATGTCCAATAATCCGCGTGCGAGCGGACCCTACACGAGAGGGGAGTCGGTCTCGGGACGTGGAAGTTCCCCTTGTTTACCCAAATGTGAACAAGCTGTTGTTTTTATGGCAGGAGGTTGGTACCGTCCGAGCACTGCAGGAGGTACCGTTGTAAGGAGGATGTAGTTGTCCTCGTTCAGGATGTCGACATGCTCCTTCCGACCTCTTGGGTCTTTTTTTTCTACTTGAAAAGGATGCTCTACTAGTAAGGAGGATGCTCTGAGGGAGAGAGGACGCGGCTGGGTGGCTCTAACATTGGCATCTACTACAACAACGGAGGAAAACCCTGCTCGTCGAGGTAAAAACGTCAAGCCCTCTTTGTCAGCGCAAGTCTCGCAAAGAGAGCAGCGAAAGAAGCGTCTTTTTCAGGTAGGGTGGAGCGATGTCGAGGAATATCTGCATGAGGTAGAGCATGCAGAGAAGGATCCAAGGTGGAAAAGAGCCGAAGAAGCGAAAAAAGCAGAGGCGGCCTTATGATGCTGGCATCAGTTTTTTAGAAACTTAATTATCCTGGAAGATCTTGCTAGCAAGAGAAACTACGAAAAGAAAATCTTGGATCTTGCTAGCAAGAGATGAAACAAAGAGAAAGCTGCCGAAGAAGCGGCTTTAGGATGCTGATATTTATGTTGTTGGTGGAAATGAAAGTCAGTTTTCCACCAACAGAGTAACTACAACAATATCCTTGGAGTTGTACCGAGGATGGGTAAGAGACTCTCAGTTGCAAGGTAGATCTTGCATATTAGCTTGCTGACTCGTGCCTTTTCATTTGCTGCCGGTGCAGCTGGTGCAGCTGCAGCTGAGAGAGAGGCTCAGAAAGACTCTTCTGCAGAAGTAGCCGCACAAAAGGGGACGACGAAGCGAGTAACGATTGTGGAAGGCCCTACGAAAAAAGGAGAAGGAAACGAGGATCCTACGAAAAAAGTACAAGAAAAAGAAGTATCGAGTAGAAGTACATCATCAACCGCTTCTGCTCCTCCTCAAAAGAAAAAAATTGCCGCAATCACGTTCGAGTATCAGGGTCGACCCGAAGGCTTCCTGAATGTCGTGCCAGAAAAAGAGAAGGTTGAGGACGAACTCGATCTTTCACTACTGCAACGAACAGGAGATGATTAAGGCTACTCGTTGAAGCATTTCATATTCATTTCTACGCGCTCTTCTCCCGTAGCGTCGCTATCTAAGGATGAAATGTCTCCACCTTTAAGGACGAGAGGAAGACTTAGCAAGAATAGGTGTGGTCGTGGGAACCTCTGTAGTTGATGTTGGGGATCCAGCATCAAGTGCAGCAACATCTGATGACGAGGAAAATTCGAGTCATAGTGGAACGAACAAAGACGAAGGAACTACTCTGTTGCCCACGTCTGGAGTTCCGAACGTCTTCATTACGCAAGGGGGCGCTGGAGGTGGAGGCGCCTTCGCAACATCGTCACCTCAGCAGAACTTGTTGGAGCAGCAGCATTCTACAATAAATATTCAGACGGACGAAGGGCAACTTGTTCATCTTTGTTCTGACGAGAGACAGCACGACCAGACGAAGCCAGAAGTAGTTTTTCCTCCAGTGAGCAAGCGTAATTTATTCTCGGTAGATCCGGTGACGGGTTCTTTGCGAGCAGGACTAGACCGGCTAGCGGAAGAGCGCATGTTCTACGGGCCGACTTTGATACAGCAACAACACATTTCCTTGCCTGGAGTGAAGTCATTGTTCGAGTTACAAGAGAGCAATAAGAAACCTGTATGAGGCCACTCATTGAGAGCGAAGATATAGGACGAATGTCGTTCGTAAGTAAGAAGGTAAAGGGGGAACGACATCCCCTCGTCGACATTCTCGATGGGTGGAAGCATTCAAAACCACCGAGTGCGCTTCTCGCGAAGTCGGGGCATCAGAAAAACGCCGAAGTAGAATTAGCAGACGGACGTGGCATTGAGGCTAAGGACCCTGACCACGAGGGGTCGAACAACGACAGCAGCGAAGACGAAGGACGACAAAATTATGGTTACAACTGCTTTTATGCTTCTTCTTAAGATCTTCAAGGATATCTCGGTAAGCAGAGTACTCTTCACCTCACTTTTTAGACAACATTCTTCTACTTCTTCTCGTCATGATTCTTATCTTCATTTCACCATTCAACTCCAAACCCTGCTCGTGATGAATTCATGCATGATGTTGATACTCGATCGTGCTAATAAAGAAAATACCATGCGAGGTCAGGAACAGGAAGGGAGAGCAACATTTCTCAGCCAGGACTCTTGCTGTCACGAGAGACCGTGGTGGTAGCTGCGCCATTAGGTGTGAGGTATGTCCGACAGGCAGACCCTGTTAGTAGCAACCAGCTGGAAGGAGCTGACTTACCATTATTGTGCGAGGAGCCACCAGATCTGCAGCATGATTTAACCAAGGACGTGGATGATGATGAAGCTGGAGCTGGTGCAGGTTCTTTTGACGTACGGACACGACAACATCAAGTAGACCACTCGCCTTCTGGTACTACAGCTGCGTTTCTTAACACTGGTATGGTTAAGGCTACCGCTCCTGAAGCACCCCCCGCACCATCCTTGGCTTGTTTTTCGACGGGAAAAGGGGCTCAGGGATGGGCTCAAGGATGCGGCGTGCTAGCTCTAATATGGAAACAGGAGCGGGTGAAACCGCTGAGAATCGACTGCGTACGCAGATGGTTGCCGATAGAGCCAAGCGTTTAGCTTTTCGCCTGACAGCAGAGTCCTTGCGCCGAAACTCACCAGAGAGACGAAACAGTCGATCTTTGCAGAGGCAATTAAGGCCATAGATGATTCATCTTTCAGTGCTGCATCCTTGCTCCTGCTTGTTGAGAACAAGTACCTACTTCTTCTACTCGAATAGATACTACAAAGATCAAGATGTTGCAAATAAAATCCTTGTATCCTATCATGTACAAAGATGCATCTAAAATAAGAAGATAAGTCTTAACCAAGGAGTAGAGCTCCTCCCCTAAGGCAACGTGATAACAGCGTCGTTCACGCTGATGGGTCTACATTCTTCTACGAGCACGAACGTGACTTGGTAACTGGCGAGCTCCCAAGGATCCATAGGCGCTCCAAGGATAGAGCTGGAGTTTTGCTCGCGCGCGCAGAAGAGATCTTGCGTCGCAATAAAGAGGAAAGTTAAGCTTCCCCTTATCCATTTCTATAGTATACATAGGGATGGATCGATCCCTCAGCCGTAAGCATCCACACCAATAGTACAACAAGAGCGACACTGAGGCATGCGCGTGCGAGATCTCCACCGGGATGAATTAGGGAGAGGTCTAAGGAAAACGACAAGCTGAGAATCAGCAAGCAGTGGCTCAACGAAAACGAAGGACCTTCGGTCGTGCTGGCATGTCTAGAAATGGTGGACTTGCCGCAGCATTAGCAGAGGAACAGGAAGAAGAAGATGATGAGGAGGCAGGTGGCGAAGTGAAAACATCCGATCTAAAGCCTAGGGGCTTCGGACAAAAAGTTAAGGTCAACATTTAGTGTCCATCTTTCACTTTCTCCGCATCTCGTTGCCCCTTCTAGTATCCCTTGTATTTCATGGCAAAGGGGTCGAGATGAGCAGGGGACCGAGATGCAAAAAAGCCGACTCTAAAAAAGGAAAGGGCAAAAAGCCCAATCTGCAGATGAATAAGTCTCCTTTTCATCAAGGTCCTTCCACACCTTCAACAACATCATCTTCTAGCGAAGATGCTGGCAGTGGCAGTGGTGACGAAAAGTCTGTGGTTGCACTGCTACAAGAAGAAGAAGATAACGACTATGAGCACTTTCTTCGTCTCGAGAACGGAAGAAAAAAGAGAACGAAAAAACAAAGGAAACGTCACTTATTCTTTCGCTTGTATGAAAAATTTTTGCTGCATGAGCAGCTGCCGCATTGGAAGGAAAGACGGGAGCTCTACTTGCTCGAAGACCTCCTTGATTCTCATCGGACAGATGGGATCCAAACCGTTCTCGCTGAACGTTAAGACTTGTAGTTTATTACTTTATACCGGATCATTCTAGTACTAGAAGTGCAACTACATCCTCTCTTGAGGCTGCTTCTGCTCTCAAGAGGTTAAAGTGTGTCTTTGAAGACGTGCTATGAAGGGGAGAAAACTGTACAAAGATGAATGCGCACCTTATTTACTAGCAAAAAAATGATGATGTGAATGTGATCTCTCTAAGAACGAAGGCATCTAGAAAAAAGTATGGAGGAAGATTTGAGCAAGCTTGTGCACAACGAGTCCGAGTGGAAGGAAGTAGGCCGTCGGTGCTGGAGGATCTGTTGGGCACCAGAGTTAAGGCTACAGGAAATCCCTCTTCGCACGGGCACGCATCTTGGTCCCGTTTTTTAGTGGAAAAGGGAACCCAGGATGCTGCTGAAGATGGATTTCTCTCAGTTCTAACAGAGAGCGGAGCCACAGCACAAGATGGCGGAGCCTTGTCTAGGGAAGATCGAATCCGGGATCGACGAAGAAAACGGCAAACACTTGGACGCCTTAATTATGGCTTGTTGTACTACGTCCATGTAGTCGAAGTACTATGCCAATCCCAATGTCGAATGATGTGTACTATGCCAATGCCAATGTCTACTAGATCATATGTCGAAGTCGAAAAGGATATGTACTATGTCATCTTCAATGTTTAGAGACTATAACTACACAGAACTTCATGCTCATGATGTGTATCTATGAGCATAATTTGTCTCTAATTCCAAGAAGTAGTTTGATGTTTCGAACTTCAGTTTTCAACTTGATATCCAAGAAATTTCAGTTTTATTCCATTTTGGTTGAATTCATTTCCTGACGACGCCAAAAGAATTGGTATCCTTCACACCTCAAACGGTGGCTAAGTCAACTACTAAACACTATCAAGATATGAACTCTACCAGTCTCTCCCTTCTGCTAACTTCTACGACTACAATTTCACGAAGTTCTACCAACTTCTACATTCTAAAAAAGTACACTAGCCTAATACTTCTATTAGCTTTTAACCTTTACTGACAGCCACAAGCAAATAACAGCTGTTGTCTACTTCGCTTTGAACTCGAAGTCGTATTTGATGGCTTTTCTTTCTCAAGCCTACTACTCTGTATGGTTCTGGTATTTGGTAACCTGAATTTGATCCGAAGGGTTCTCTTCTTGTTTTCCCTTAGGATCAAACTCAGGTTACCAAATACCAGAACCATTCATACTCACAGTGGCTTCCCCCCTTCACAGCTGCTTCCTTGTTTTCCCTCTAGTTCTAACTCACAGTCGTATTCGATGGTTGGTACATGGCTGTTCAGACCATGATGTTGGAGCAGGCCAAGCCAAAGCCTTGGAGTTTAGTGAGAGGTATGGTTAGATTTTAGCCATCTTTTTCGGCAACATCTTGATCCCCTTTTGCCTTGTATTATTCCTATGAATTACTACAACAAGGGTCTGTCTTATTTTTCGGCAACATCTTGATCCCCTTTTGGTCTGTATGATTTTTCTTGCGAATTATTACAACAAGGAGCGTTGTAAGAAAGGGGTCAAGATGAGGGAACCAGGATGGATTCAAGCTGATTCTAAGAAAGATTTCGAGGACGGTCGCGTCGAGTACCTTTGCTTGGGGGGTATCGAGCGTGTCAGCATTTTTGGAGACGCCGCTGCGACTCTTGTATACGATGGCAAGATGAAAGTAGCAGAGCACGACGGATTCTCACCTACAACAAATGCAAATGGTACGAAGGCAGGACGAGAAGAAGCGGCTTTAAGGAGCGGAGGAGGGGACACTCGTCGAGGACCGAGGACGACGAGGCCAAGAGAGACTGGTTGTAAGGCCTCCGCAAGAAAAAGGAGCGCGCAGAGTCCAAAAAAGATGCCTGGAGGAAATTTGACTACTGCACGCCCTGACACTAAACGAGCATATTACGACCAGCAGGAAGAAAATGGTGCTGGAAGTGGTAGTGGCTTAGCTATTAAACAAGCCCGCCTTCCTGTTGTCCCTCCAGAGGTGCTGAATATTGCAGAAGAGACTTCACCCATGAAGCAAGTAGAGGTGAACTTCGGCAATAAGAGCAATATTAAACCTACAACTCGTATAAGTGACTCCACCAAAGAACATCATCCAGAACAAGACCCAACATCCACCGGTCGTGGAGTCGACACTAGGAGAGGCACTGGAGGAAACGTCGAGGTACCCCCAAAGCTGAAACGAAATCCGCTTGCGGCATCAAGCAAGCCACAGCAGACACGTCGGAAAAAACCAGTCGTAGTCCTTGGGGGACAGTAGGATGTGCATGAGGATCAGGTGGTATCACTTGTTTTAAATATTCAAAAGGAAGCAGGCCAGAAATATAGTAGGACCCCGATCGTTTCAATCAGTCTACTTACTTGTCTTAGCATCTGTGCTAGACCATGCTAGTTTCGTTAGATGTGCCTAAGCAGACACTGTGCCTCCTTTTGGTTAATACCACAGTCATGTTATAACTACTTTGCGTTACCAGCACTACCACAATAATTGGTGGAATCATCTTTCGTTATAATAGCGCAGTCGACTGGGACTGGAATCGGTAGCACGGTTACTTTGAGTCTTTCGTTAGCACAGTTGTGAACTTTTTTGTTAGCACCCATTACAACATCCAGTTGTAAACTTTCGTTCGCACATTCAGTTGATGTAAAGGTAAACTTTCGTTAGCACATCCAGTTTCAAATTTTTTCGTTAGCATTAGCACATCCAGTTGTGAACTTTTTCGTTAGCAAATTTAGTTGATGTAAAGGTAAACTTCCGTTAGCACAGTTGTACACTTTCGTTGGCACAAGAGGTTTCGTTTTTAGACATTCACTCCTTGCACAGTGAAAAATTCATTTTCTTGTTTGTATGTTGCTTCTCTATTGCGAGAATAAGAATGGATAAAGTTTCTCTGACAGGTTATTTGATGATGTACATGTAAGTACGTACTTTTGCTTTTGCAGTTTCTATTGGGTCTATCACAGACATCTTCATTCGGCAAATGGCTGCACAATTCATCTGAGTGATGGGTCTTTTGCGAACCTGTACAGGTGAAAATAGTGAACGTGAGAGAGAGATAATATGAGAGGACGAAGGATGAGAAAAGCACGGAGGAAAGTAGTGATGGCGACAAAAGGGAATCTATTTTTCAAGTCGGAAATTTACTGCGAAAAGTATTACCAGAATGAGTATCCATACAACGAGGAGTCAGGTGAGTCTACTCGTAGCAGTACCCTACAAAAAAATACAAGTGCTAATGGTTAGCTATTTCTAGCGCTCTAGCGAAAGCGACTTTGGTGATAAAGAAAACTGAAACTCCTGCCCTACTTACTTTCTCAATAAAAAGATAAATACACGCACACGCTTGGACAAGATGCCCTCTCTACTCGTTTCGACGAATACTGCGACTGCCTTCACCACAGACGGGGATGTCTGTTCAGTGGCCTCTCCTCCGGTAGAGAAGAAACCTCCTACTGTTAAGGCTCAATATGATATTTCATTTCTAAGAGTCATTTCATCTCGCAGATTCCTTCTTGGAATAATGGAGAAATGAAGGCAACAAATGGAATGTTTTGAGCTCCTCTAAGACTGTTTCTACAAGAAGAACATCATCAGCAGAAAATAATGTAGTAGTAATTGCAGACAAAGAACTCGAACAGGAGAACATCAACATATCGACACCTTCACTGCAGCAGCCGACGGAGACCTCCTCCATGAACGAGGAGGTTGCGCCAAATAAAACAAGTGAAGACGATACTGGCTGCAAAAAGTCTTCGTTGTACTCCATAGTCCGCGATAAGAACTACAATCAGCCTTCTGCTCTTGGAAATGCGGGAGCCGCGAGTGCAGCAGAAGTAGCGAGAAATGATCGTCTTCTGAACAAGAGCAGTGACAAGAACAAGCTGGATAGCAGTTTAGGTTAAGGCTCAGAGTCTCATTTGTCTTCACAGATTATTTCTCTTTCTCTCAACATCACAGAAGATTCAGAATATTTGTTTCTTCTCTCGTCAGTTTCGTTCTACGTGCATTCTGAGAACGCGCGGTAGTTGCGTTCTTAGAATATTGCGGTTTCACTAGCAGATGCAGATTGAATCATTCACTGATTTATTCCGCTGCTCTTCTAAAACGGAGTCGGAGCGTCATTTTTAGAGCAGAAGCACCGGCTGCGGAGAGTAAGTGACATGTTTGCATTCGATCTACATCCGGCGTGGCAAGCAGAGGCAAACGAGCCCGTGGAAAGTGAGGAGCAAAGACTGCATCGATGGCGGACCGAGGACCCCATCCTTATCCAAGAAGCTTTCGCGACATCCAATTAAGGCTCGACGCCAGGCTTCAGAGCTGTTGATCATCACCACAGGGATTCATTTGTGTCACTGGCATCTTTAATGTACTTCCTCGACAGAGGAAGCACTTCGTCGCTTTCCCCGACAGCTGGAAAACATCAAGGGGAAACAAGGGAAAGGAAGCAAACAAGCGAAGTGCTGCTTTACTTGATTCATGAAGAGGTCTTGTAGCTGTCCCTTCAGAAGGATTGACCAGTCATTTGTTTCGGCCTCTAATACAATGCTTTTCTGCAAGCATGCAAAGACGGAGACCTTGAGGAAGCATGTGCGATTATCCGAAATGCAGAAAATTACACAGAATTTCTCCAGTATCATGTAATTCAGGCTTACTATGCGTGCGTGCGCGCATTGGATTGGGACCTGTTTCTTGCGGTGTTTGTGGAGCAGTCATTCTTAAGAGCAGACTGGACAAAAGTAGTTTCAATTTCGAACTCACATTTGATCTCGAAACTTGTTGATACCGTCACGATGGCGTCAGTCTATTGTGCAATCTGCGTAAGATCTCACTGGCGACTTCTCATATCCATGAATTTTCGACTTTATTTCAATTTGTTCCAATTCATTTCCTGATGAAGCCATTGCACACACATTGTTATTGCCGTCACTCCACATTGTTATTGCCGTAATGAATATGCAGTGCATTTTCAGCATATCCAGTGAATATGCATCATATTCTGCAGCATATCCAGTGAATATGCATCATATTCTGCAGCATATCTAGTGAATATGCGGATGCGCAGAAAAGTAGATTCTCTTTTCTAACTCTCCCTGTTGGGCTGTTTGCAGAAGTAGCACATGCTGTATGCGAAATGTGTGCTAAGGACACGTTCGACGTCTGCCGCAAGTTCCTAAAGAAGTTCTTCAACGTTTACGAGGTATGGCACTAATGTTTTTTAAGCTGCCTTTTAGGCTTGCTCCCTGGTGCTGCGTAGGCGACGTACGCTCGATGTCTAAGTGAAGTAAGTATACACTAGCTCCTCCGTGCTGTGCCTCCCTACTTCTTTTGTGGTATGGAAGATATTGATCATATCAAGTAGTTGCGCACTATAATCACTTTCTCACAGACTTATTCATTCGATTTTTGTTCTTAACTTAGTCCCTCAATCCACTGCACATTTTGATGTCCTCCCAAACCTGAAATCCCTCCACAGACAAGTGTGAAAATGTGAAAATCTGAAATTTCTCCACAGATAAGTGTGGATCACCCAAGACATCGAGATGGACTGACTCCGCTTTGCGTCGCGTGCTTACGAGGATGCCTGCCGCTTTCGGTCATACTCTTAGTTAAGCGCCGTTGTCAATTGACCTATCTTCTCGTCAGACGAGCACATCTTCTGTGTATGAAGACAACTGCTAATGGACTAAATCTTCTACACCCCATGAAGATTGGGTACACTAGTACTACTGCTAAGGGGAACAGAGAAAAATGCCTACTTATCTCTTCAGAGCATTGCTATTCCGGGGAAATGAGTACTATTTTTTCCATTCAAGGGTGTCTTCATGGGGTTCTTGAAAATGAGTTTTATTTCAAGGGGACAGGAGGCTTAGGGAGATAGATAAGCAGATGGGAGCTTTTAAAGGGCGACAGGATCAGGGATAGATATATGCGAGACACTTGATAAGCAGGTGAACTCTCAACCCATCTTCTAACTTGGAGGAGTATAACGCTAGCTGTCATGTTATCACACGGCACAACTTGACGCCTTTCCAGCTTAACGAGATGCCACAGCCTGGTGACACGGAACAGATCGTGGAGGGACGTCAACTTTTGAAAAATCGCATGTTAAGGCACATCAATCAAGCAATCTTTGGACGTTCTTCAGTTCTTATTTGATCTTGTGGTAGAACATCTAATTCATCCCATGTGTATAGTAGATATTACTAGTTGTAGTCAGCGTGGACGTCTAGTAGTACATTCATCATCCTGCTCCTGGTGATTTTACCTTAGGTTACTAGGCTCTAAAACCCTGTTCGATGGGAGTGGGACGAAACGCGCAAGAGGTCTTGCGAAAACTGCGTCAGCATGGTGGCAGCATACTCAGTGGTACTGTGAAATTCGATAATTCTACGAGATGCCAACAAAATTCGCGTGCCACCGAGATGGATGCGATGGGGAGCGATAATCAACATTATGATGTGAAGATATCAAGATGGTTATATATCCGCACTAGTTTTAGTTTAGCTAGAAGGAGTACTTGTCCTTGTCGTGTTACTGTATGTGCTGTCTCGTCGTCTGTTTTCGAGATGAGTTTCCATCTTTAAGACCCTTGCTTAGCTCTACTAGCTCTATGATCGAGAAGAAATTTGCTTCTAAACCTCGTCCGCAGAAGCAGCTTCACAGGGAGCCCCCACTTCAAGCGGAGGAGCAACAACGAGTAAAAAGTACACTGTTTGGGCTGGTGGTTGCGATCTACCTTGAAGTGGGATCTGGTAGGTGCGAAGACTAAGGTGGTGGCCTGGTACTAGATCTGGAGTTCTTAGAAGATGCGACCTATCAACTTGAAGGACGATGATGTCCAAGTGCGTGGTAGTAGCTCTAGAAGTACAGAGCAGAAGGGGTGAAGAAAAAGTCGACGAGTTCACTTTGGAAGAGTTTCAGATTGAGAATGAGCTACTCGAGAAGTTCTGACGAGAACGGTGTCAAGTTGTTAGTACAGGTGTTAAGACCTTCTAGCCTTAAGGAGAAGAAGAAGAAGAAGAGCAGGAGTAATGAGGACCTTCCTCCTACTGTCTGTTGGGGCCATTTGTTAGTGACCGGGAACCATGACCACAGGAGTCGTCTTAGGAACTCAGGTTGAACAAAAAAGGCTTGTCCTAAATTGCATTACCGGCCAATCCACTGCTCTAGAATTTGGTGAATTGCGACTTCTCAGACGGAAATGTTGAGCGAGGTTGTTGGAATAAATTGAAAATTATGTTGAGCAAGGACCTTTCCTTGGCGATAAAAGTGACTTGTTATCAAGAAAATTCAATGTAAAGACTTGTCCTAGTGAGTTTTTCAAATAGTCTTCGAAGACGGAACAATCAACACAAAATGACGACGTCATCTGCGACAAAGAAGATCTTGGCTCCCAATGAGGTTGAGGACAGTGACGGTGATTGGCAAGCCTTCCAGGCGGCGCCTTGCGACCAAACCTCAGGACCTGGCCTCGACGTCCTCTTTCCGTCAATTACACGTAACGCGGAGCAGGCCGCCTCCAACGCTGACCACGCTGTACAGCTGGAGGAACATGAGAAGCACACAATCTCTGTGTACTTCAGGGGCCAAAAAAATGTCGTGACCTGGTACGCCGACGCAATGTCAGTTACGAAGGGGAGGTCCTACATTGATGTAGTTCTCTTTCGCGAGTTATTAGACTTGTTCTGTGGAGAAGTGGAGCAGGTGGTGACAACAAGTCCTCGGGGATTGTGTATTAACGACTAGATTTTGTCCTTTCACCACCTCTAGATTAGGTACGTCCTCTAACTTACGAAGAGACATCCAGGAGGCGATACTGTGCGCGTGCGATGCTATTATGGACGGTGGCTTCGTTCTCCGAGAAATCAAGTCAGCGGCGACGGAACAAAATGTAGCACAGCCTCCGAAAGACGAACCCAGCACCATAGATTTACGTTAGAAGAAGTCTGCACGGTCATGGTGAGTAGATACAATCATGCTAGATAATATGAAGATTCCCCTGAAGATAGCTAGTACTTGTAGTTATACATCAACAAGGATAGTCATCTACTGACCACGATAGTTACAGCTTCGATAAGTAATCAACACCAGTGTGGCAACCGATTCACATGATGGTATGATGCTCCTAACATCCTAGTAGTTGCATCAACGTAAGAGCAAGAGCTACAACATACAACTACTCACACTTACATCGTAGGCACATCAGCAGAGCCATCTATGAAGATCAAAAGAAGTTGAAACTTTTCAACGAGAAAAGATAAATTGACTGATTGTTGAATTTCAACCTTCAGTCTTCAACTTGATATCCAAGAAATTTCAGTTTTATTCCATTTTGGTTGAATTCATTTCCTGACGACGTCAAAAGACTTGGTATCTTTCACACATCAACTAACACTTGGATCAACATATGAATTCAGTAGAATTCTATCAATGTCTGGTTCCTGCAACTAACAACTGCGAACTTCTACCGACTTCTACACTCCAAATAGTGCTATATACTTCTAAGAACGGATACTAGCTTTAAACTTTTACTATAACTTTTGACCTTTGCTGACAGCCACAAACAAACAGCTGCTGTCTAGTACTAGTTACAAACTGCTAACTCCATCGGACCACCATGCACAACTAAGCAACCACATCTAGTGTGTGATCTTTAACTAAGCAGGTCCAGGTGCTGCTGTTTTGAGAAGCAGGGTCGCACTATCAAAAGCAAGATTGAGACGTCGTGATGCCTCTACTCACACTCACTTTACACGTGATATTATCAAGGAAGTAGACGGCACATGTTTGTAATCTTACCGGCTCCCTTTTTTGGTGGATCCAATCGGATCCTATCATCTTCTTATCCTATCCTATCTTACCCACTAAAACATGATCATAGACCTCCAACAAGAAGAGGACAAGACTATACAGTCAATTACATAATACACCCATCTAATCGAAGATTTGTTCAACGTCTCGTCTACGCCTTCCGCCTCATCGTCCGGACCACCTGCCGAAAAGTTATGAAGATGCTACTAGTGGTGTTCTTCAGTGTCGTGAAAATGTAAGAGCCCTTTTCGTTGTTCTTCGGCGCGTCCAGGTCGAGTACAAGTATATTTTTGTAGCATGTGCGTGTGGGCTCCTATCCTATCCCTATTGAAAGAGTTCGAACTCGACGAAGCCCTTGAGTTCTTCTTGTTGTACTGTCTGGTAAGTTCGGGTACTCGCATCGTGGATCTTGTTCTGGTTTTAGGCAAGGACCCTGTCGCTCAATCTCAAGGACATCTCTGGAATTCAACACTCCAGTATCGGTAGCCCTGGCTCTACTCGAGCCTGTTATTTCGTCCCGGACCTTAGAACCTTGAACCTTCTTCATTGTAGAAAGAGGTCGCGAACGAAGAGTTCGAACTCGGGGAAACCTTTGAGTTCGAGGTGTTCCACCGACTGCGACACGGTGGCTTGTACCTCCTGCAGCCCGCGGGAGAAAGAAAAGACCTAGAGAAGATCACTGGTGACAGGTGGCGACGACTGAAGGTGATGATTGATCCGCTCCTGCACGTTGAAGCAAATTATGGCCACTGTTGTTGACAACAACACCTTACTAGGAGGACAAGAAGACCTACTACATGTAGATCTAGTAGAAGTGAATTGTTGATTGTGGTCGTGATTACACTGACTTCTTATTAGCTCAACTAGGACGAAGAAGATTGAATACTGCTAGGATGACTACTAGTACTGAGCTACCATAGGAATGGAGTGCTCCTGGTGACTAGTGTGGTGAAGTTGCCGAGAGAATAGCAGTGGTAGGCAAGTGTCAACGTAATCAGTGCAAGAATGAGCACATGGGGCTGAATAAGGTCACTAGAAGGGCTATTGCTGTTAGATGGCACCATTTTTCAATTTGCATGAGTCTAAAAGTGTTCTAGTCAGTGTGATAATCTAAAGTCTTCTACTATTGCACCAAAACTTCGACATCAAGGTGTCGTCGATTGATGCTATTTGTGATCATCTTTACAGCGCTATTCTAGTGGTTAATCACACCTTTTGGGCTAAGATTGTTTGGTTTTCTGTGCTTTCTGAAATAGGTGAGCAAAAATGCTCGCCAGGAAATGAAATTTAATTGCAGGCGATAAAAAGTCATTTTTTCGAGAATTAAGTAATCCCAATCTGAGATTCACAATAACACTTATTGGGCTCAGTAGAAGGCTAAAAGTGAAGAAAGAACTGACTGTGATCAAGTTAGAAGTAGCAAGTAATGAACTCTCGTTGATAACAACTGCTCTTGTACTAGTTCTGGTCCTTCGAGTACATACTACTGCTCTGAAGCATAAATGTTAAAGTATGTGCCATCCCCCTTTTCCTCGTCCTTAAGTCTACTTTTTGATTTTTGATACCACGCTCGATTAGAAGATGCTGACGCTACGCTAATAGGCTGACACCTGTAACTGAAATTCTCGTAGCAGAGGGTTGTGTTCTAAAAAGCAAAAGCAGTCGAACGCATGAAGCGCGGTGCAAACCTGTTAAAGCACACACGTTACGGCTTCCCACATTTGCGACATTTTCAGCTGAGTGAGGACACGCAGCGCCTTCTATGGTATTCAGCGGCAAAGAGCAAAGACGACACCGTCATTTGGATGGATCAGGTATTCAACTGTCTTTGGTGGGGTTTGAGATTCTAAACGACCTACAATCTAGCCCCTTTATCATCGGTTGTTTTTCGTGGTTGTAATTCGACTAGGTATAACAACATCAACATCAAGTGGAGGCCTCTTCTAGTAACTTTATTCAATCATCAGTTGTGATCTCATGATGACCTTAACTCTATTCAATCATCAGTTGTGATCTCATGATGACCTCTTCTACTTTGGACATCATTGTTCGTATTTCAGGTGAGTGAGATATCGCTTGGTCAAGGGAGCAGCAATTTCAAGAGCTATCGATTGCCCATGCTGGAGCATTTGTCGCTGTCAATCGTAACGAAAAACGGCAAGACCGTTGATATCACATGTAAAGATTAAGGGAAGCCGTGATAGTGATTCATCGCAAGCCGTGATTCATCTCAGAACTTGTTCCAAGATGGAGCAAAAATTCCCGAGATGGAGTTCGTGTTAAGTTGTAACTTTTCACAACAGACGTAACCGCGCCGCCTCTCCACTCCACTCGTTGCGTGAGATCCATCGTGTGTATCATCTATGACGCCCTTGTGGCAGTCTGCACTGAACTTTGTGCGAGATAAATTGTATTGTATAGCTGTGTAAAGAGTCATCTTGCTTCTCATTTCCTTTGACGCGTTTCTTTATAATTCAAAGGGAAAATAACTCGCCGAGCATGACAGACGCCCATCATTCAAGATGAATCTGCCAGGTACCTAAGCTCTAAAATGACGAGTTCGAGTTTGATCATTGGGTAACCGGATTAAAAGCGCTTCATTACCATCACACGTCGCGGGAGCTTTCTAAAGAACAATTGCTGAGCCACAGTCAGCGTTTCAAGAGAGCTCTGGCGAAAAACAACGTCAGCATCAAGCTCACGCAGCTCCCTGAAGTCAAGGAGAAAGGACACATTGGTAAGGAGAAGAAAACTGTAACGTGAAGGAGAAGAAAGGGAAAGGGAAACACATAATATAAATTGGTACATGGTAGCACGAAATTTTGAGATAAAGAGACTCATTCTTGTATGCATTGTACTAAAAGACTACGAGGTGGTGAAGGATAGAAAATAGGTCAAAATACACCCAGGTCTCGACGATTGCATCGAAATTCAGTCTCATTCCTTGGCCGAGATCGAAGGAAAAATTGACCGACTTAAGGAGCGGCATCGAGTTTTACAGCTCTCTGTAGCGAAGCTGGACTTTCATTAAGATTCGAGAGCTAGATTTTCAGCAAGTAGATTTAGATCCAACAACAAGCTACTTAAATCAAAAGATCAAAGGGTTGTAGGAGTAGATGAAGAAGCTGTCACGGACGAAGTCTTCAGGCGCATAGATTCAGAAGAAAAATTGAAAACTTCCCACTCTGTGATCCTTGATGAATGTGGTCCACCTAGTAAGTAACCAAGGTTAACACTTTCACTAGGATTAATGTTTGAAAATTGGGCTTTCCCTTGCATTAAGGTTAAGATCCTACAAGTACAAGATAGAACAATCTAGTCGATTAGAGTTAATAGACGGTAGAAGTCGTCACGGTTGATCATCTTACTCGAGCCTTTAGATCTTCTAAATCCTTGCCGAAGCGGAGATGGAGCTAGATGTGGCCGTCCTCGTCGGCCAGGGTCCTGCTTACGCTGCCGTGTTTCAGGATATGGAAGGCGCAGATGACGAAGAAATGGAACTTAAAAGAATGAACGACCTGCTCAAGGAGGTACTTGTGAAGATGAAGTAGTTGAACAAGATGAGCGACCTTCTGCAAGGAGGTGCTCATGTACAAGAACTTTCTAGCAGCAGTAGAGGACGAACGAGCTCACTTTTTAAGCAGGAGGTGCTTATGTATCAATCTACTATATGATCAACCTTCTCAGGACGGTGGAGGTGCTCTACTGCATATATGAATGTCTAATTTGCAAATAATCTGGAAATTTCTATACTCCACAACTCCACAACTACCACAGGTTCAGTCATCCTTAACGCGAGCGCGGAATGATTTCATTGCTATACAAAACTCGGCAAAAAGTAACGAGGAAATAGGGGACAAGCAACGTTGCCGAGAGCTTGATCAGCTGTTGTGGAAATGTGAAGTCGATGTTTATGGCAACAGACAAAAAGTCGCTCTAGTATTGCTTCTTCTGCATGATCTTTCTACTTCGGAATTCCTCTCGTTGGGCTTGGGGTAGTTGTTGAGTGATCCTCGTTTCAAAAAGTTATAGGGAGGACAAAAGAATCCACGAGTAGCTCCCTCACGCTCCTTCCTTGATGAATGCCTTTTCATTACTCGGAAAATGTCGAAGATATTCTTTCTCGGTACTTGGATACAGGGAAAGGTACGCAGCATCCTTGGGCCGTACACTTGCAGGAAGGATCAGCACAGGTTCAGAGGTCACTGGAAGAGGGCTGGCAAGTGGTGAACGAAAAGTATGACGAGCTGAGAAAATGGTGGGCGAAGTGATTGAGCCGAGGAAGAGAACTCTTTGGAAAGATCATGCTGCTAACTCACAGCGGTAGACGTCGTTGTAAACTACCCCGCTAGGTAAAGTTGAGGATGGTTGCTTGCTACGCGAATAAGATGATGGAAACTACTTCCAGAAAAAATCTACAAAAAGGGCGTCTCCTTCAAGTTTTTTATCCTTGCTTGTCACTTGCTCTACAAGAACCCGCAGCTTCGTAAAACCTATTGGCAGGAGAAGCGTATCGAACTTGTTGTAAACTCGATTGCACAGACTGTTGTCATCCGGAGAACGCGTCGTCGAACGATGCTCAGAGAGATTCATTTTTCTGATCATACAGACCTTTCGTATTCCTATTCGCATTCGTACGATGGAATTTGAAAGGCTGAATTTTTGAGCGAAAGAACGCGTGGCTTTCTTATAGGTGCTTGCAGCGCCATCAAGAGGCGCACGAATGCAGACACCCCCAGCTTAGAAACTGAGAGCATCAAGGTTTAAAGCAGAGATTGAATAAGTCGGTCGTACTCGTAAATATACGACTGGGTAGCGAGAACATGCATGCATCATCGTCAACATCATGATCACCGCTCAATTCGGACCAGAGTCGTGCAACAAGCCCGTTTCGGTTTCATCAGTCGACAAATGTCTGACGAATACTTAATCAAAAAAAGGTCTGGGGGTAAAAAAACAATGAATCTGTAAGTAGTCACGGCTTGAGATATGAATTTGGAGTGTCTGGGTGGATACTGTACCTGGGTCCGATGCCTGCTCTGTAAGAACTTCTATCCTACGGTTGTTAGTAATATCAACTGGTGGTGCAAATCGGTCAAAAGTCAACGTACAAGTAGAAGTAGAGTCCCTCGTCGTGCCGCGGTTGTTGATTGATGTCTGTTTTCGTACATCATTCAACTGGAACAGGGCATGGCTACTTCCGTGTCGTCCTTTCCAAGAAGAACCCCCCAAAATGGAAAATGTTTTCATGTCTAATTCGTTTTTAATATCAGGCGTATGTTAATAGATACAAGTAGAAGATATCAAAGGCTTCACTAGCTATGTGACCTTTTGAAGATGGACAATGTTGCATCTTTTGAAGAGGACTAACAAAAGAAGAGGACGATGAACTGCTAATTGATTTCTTCTATGCCCCATGATTGGGTACGCTACTACTACTACTACTGCATGAAGAACAACAGTCACGGCCACCTCGAACTTTAAGTGTGCTGAATATGTTTCGTCTTTTGTTCAAATTGAAAAATGTCATCATGTCGTCGACATCCATACTAGTCTGCATTCTGTCTCTCAGTAACGCGTCTCCTGGTAATAAGCAGCAACACACTTCTATGACACGACGAGCGAATGGAGGTTAAACAACCTACAATCTAGTCCATTCATCATCTTCGTTATTGGTGTGAAGACCGAGGACGTGCGACCTTCTTCATGATAGTGGACGAGGCGAGAAAAACCAATATAACGAGCGGCAACCGACTAGATTGGTGGAGTTAGTTGCATTGCCTTTGCCTTCATCCAAAGCGGTCGAGCCTGAAGCCGCTCCTCAACCTCGTCTTAAGTAAGGCAGGAACGACAAGAGGATGGGCTGCGAAAATCTCGAGAGCGTATAATTTAAGTGAGAGGAACAAAATCCCTACAGAAAACGCAAATGGCAGCCCTAGACGTCGACGTGAAGGCAGCGGCCGAATCGCGGGAAGCGAGTGCCTTTGCAAGTGCTGACACGGTGATCAACGAGTATATGGCGAAACGAGCTGAGAAGGACAAAGAGCGAACGGAACTTCTGCAACGACTCATTAAGGCTCGTTTGAAACCTCGATCCATCTTTAGAAACTTCGTGGAAACGCTTCCTTTGTTTCTCTTACTAATCCATCTTGAGCAGGAGGAGCATGATAATGATTTTCTTTCTTCAAGGGAAAGAGATATATCATCTACTCAGGATAGTCGTCCTCAAGGCAAGATGGATTATAAGTAAATGTATTAGGCTGAATAGCTCTAAGGAAAGCGAAAAGTATGATTCCGACGAAGCTAGAGGCATTGTTGCTGTCAACTGGAAAAAGGAGAGGCAGAGGCTTGGTACTTAGAGTTGGAGTTCTTCTACTTCTACTCATATAAAAAGTTTAGAAAGAATTATAGAAGATTATTGTTATATCCACTATCATCTAACAACCTCTTTATGACCGACAATATTCACATCTTCCAAATAATAGGCCTGCTTCCAGAGTGGGAGTATCGGCATCTGCACTTTATTCCGCAGCCGTTTGTCGCGCCACACGGTCGCCCACTGGTACGGCGTTTCTGCGCAAAGTATGGGGATATCTTCATGTACAGTTGCATGTTCTTCCTGTTCCTGATACTGGTAGCAACTTTTGTGGTCTACATCTTAGCGCTGTTGTACTATCAGAACAGCTACACCGCAAAGTGTACTCTCAGTCGTAATGGGGACTCACCGACGCTGTGCACCGAGTGCCTCTTTGATGTTAAAGCACTGGTAGACCTCCGAGAGCAAACCAGCCTCCGAGAAGATCGCGTTAAGGAGCATTTGGAGTTATGCTTTGAAACGCCAACTTTTCGAGGATTCGGCTCAAATTGAAAACGCAAATAACGCAGTTTTTCATGCTTTCGAGAGCAATCGAATCGAATTATTTGGCGATAAACCATTTTTTCGAGGATTCGCCTTCAAACTTTGTATTCGTCGATAGAATTGACAAGCTATAATTTACTCTTCTTGTCTCTCTAGTTCTTGTACCTCATGTCTTCTAGAATTGGTTCATAGTACCTGCACCAGAGATTGAGATCCATCTAAGATGGATCATCTTCTACATGAGTTATAAAGTGTGTTTTGTAGAGTGTGAGATATTAATTATGGTTTATAGAGTGTGTAACAGTGGTCCAACACCGAGCAGTATTTCTTTGTCTACAACTGCAACTGCTTCTTGTCTTTTGCTTCATTCCTCCACCTACAAAGGGGTCTCCTCTTTATTTCCTTCATTCCTGTACGTAGAAAGCACTCTGTCCGTGAACGATTTGGCGAACTGGCATCTTGGAGTCGAGAAGTTTATTCCTCGCGACCTACCTGGTTTAGGACCGGACTACCGCATTTTCCGAGTGCGTAACTACCAAATCAAGTACGACCCATATGGACCGTACTACCGACCAAGAGAGGAGCCCTTCTTTTGTTGCCCCGATAAGTGTTGCGACTGGCTGTTAAGGATTGCAAGTTGACGACCCCTCTATAATGCGCGGTAAATCTACATTGATTATAGGAAAGTCATGTAGTCTATGCGTCGAGGGATGATAGAGAGGTCGCCTTGGAATCCCTAAGGCCGAATCCGGACACGCAAAACGACAATTACCACTGCGATACACGCATTTTTGGGTGGGCCCAAAAGCAAGAATGGCGTGCGGTGGCGGAAGACATTTATGAATCAATGAAGAAGAGGAGTTTAGTTTCTTGTACTTCCCAGTTATACTACTCGGGCATCCACCTCGGGTAGAGATTAGACCACCGACAGTAGATCCTTCTTTTTTTAGTGCTAGTTATTTTTCCCTCTAGATACATAGAACAAACTACAAGCAAGGGTCATCGTGCGTCGTCCAAGAAGAGGACGACTGTGATAGTCCTATCTCTAGATAAAATGACGAGGAAGTAGATACCAAACACCTCTCCATCTAAGACATGAGTACGGAAATGTGCAGCGTGGGGGCGTGGGACTGTACTTTGGAAAAACCTGAGACCTTCGACATGGAGGTAGGTGCCACTTTCGAGTCCGCGAGTCGCATAGGTTAAGGCTAGTTTTTTACTATCCCATGTGGACTATGCAGCTGCGTGGCGCCCCCCTTGATGTTGAGAGACAAAATATAAGGGGGACGTACTACACGTAGGGTATTCCATTCATCCACCCGACTCGGTGTAGGAAAAAACTAGCGCTAAATAGGAGTGCCTTCCGAGAATCTAGTGCCTTCGTTTTCCGCACTAGATCAGCATGTACTCACCACGCAACTCTTCGCGGCCATGTTTTGTCTCTACGTTTTGTACTTATGACCCATGTTCTATCTTTATAGTACGTTTTGTACTTATGATATTACTGAATAAAGTTCGTTCGTTGCTAATATGAGATCATACAACTGAAAATTTGTGCATAATTTGGATTATCCAAGAATTTTCAGTTATATGCTATCTTTTTGAAATTCATTTCCTGAGGGTGAGCTTTATTTCTGACACAGTGACAGTTGAATCGACAAAAACTCTGTCATTCTCATGCTTCTGTGTATCTAGATAGTCTCAGGTGTGTATTAGTATACAGAGTATGACGCTACTAAGTTGTCTGTTTCTCACACACATGAATAGTCCAGAACTTCTTAGAGCTTTCTTTTTAAGTTTGGGAAGCAAGTTGAGAGTTTTTTAGAAGGGCTCTTTCAACAGGAAGAATGCTTATTCCTTATCTTGTAGCTGTATGTAGTGGCTGTCATATCTGGCTAAAATCATTATAATACTACAGGCACTAGTTCTTGGTGCTGGTGGAGATGAGAGCAGCATGCTAATAGGCAGTGGCAGGTTCTATTCTGTTGCTATTTGATCAAACAAGTAGATCATGTCCTCGGACTCGGAGGACAGACATCACCAGTACATGCGCATTTGACTTACTTCTACACATTGAACATGACCATGCTCATGCCTCTTCTAATATTTATACTGGGTTGTGTGTTGGTGTGGAGCTTGGAAAAGAAGGCGGTAGCGGTTCGGGCGATGATGGCGGACCAGATTGAAGAATACATTGCAAAAATAAAGTTGATGGTCATTGAAGGGCATCCCAAATGGCTTTACCGCTTTCTCAAGTACCATTTGGCGTACTGCGAGAAATGGCTTGACCGCTGGTGGGCGATTTACGGCCGACGGCTTTACATGCGTATGACGCGCACTGGACGGCGATTTTGGTATGGTCTCGCCGTAGTAGCTGAGCAAGAAGCGAGGTATATCAGGGCAGATCTCAGAGAAGTGATGTCCCCCTATCCTCACGTAACCGTGGATATGCTGCTCGCGCGGGATGATTTGTGGATATGCTGTACCTGGTGGTGCCCATGTGCCACATTCTCAATTATGGACATTCGGATTCAACTGCTTTGTCGCACTAAACGAACTTCAACTCCTAGTGTCGTGTGATAGTTGTTGCTATCATCTTTCCGCCGTAACGACGTTGAAAACCACGACTGCAGCTTTTAGATACAGATATTGGAATCTTCCATCTTCTAAAGCGATTCGAGTAATCATCGAATCTCTGCTTCAGATGCGTTTGGCCCGCCGGCGAAAAGATGCACCTGTGCCGACGTCTTCAAGCGGTGAGAGCTCAGTAGTTGGCCCTCCTCAAACGGCGTACGAGATCGCGCTGGAGCAGGTTCAGAAGCCCTTCATGAAACCCAGGAAACTCATTTGTTAAGGCTCTATTTCCTAATCTAGGTTGCCTATGTTAGTTTAGAGGTTGATAAGGTATGCATCCTTGGAATGATGAAGAAGAGCTTTGCAAGTAGGGCAAAAGCATCTTTCTAGGGTGCGTCTCAGGATGGATTAAGGCGAGCGCTAAGCATCGCTGTCGAACCTCGGAGACAAGGGTCTTCAACCAGACCGAGATCCAGGAGATCGGGTGAACCTAGGACTGGTAGAGCCATGGTGGACAAAATTACCAAAAAGCTGGCACGAATCTCAGAAGTCGGAGGAACAGAAGAAAGAGGAAGCAGAAGATGCGAAACGGTTCCAACGTGAGGAATTTCAAGCGACAGGCGGACAGCCGCAATTGCGCATGACGATTAAGGTCCCATCTTCTCTAATGATCTGTGATGTCAGTTCATCTTGGGAATCTTTGACAGGGACGAGATTGAGAAAAGATCCCAGTGTAAGTACATACAAAAGGTAATAAAGGACCAAGTTTTCGTTTGAAAGGACGTCGAAGAAAAGGTCTTACTAGAATGGTGGCAGGTCGTTGCCTATGCCTTCAAATTGGTCATGGTCGTGGTACATCAGGCTGAAAGGTCCTCTAAGTCAGAATATGTTGGTGAAAAGTTTGCAAGCAGGGTTCGGCGGTACTACAAACCAGGGAGCAAGCTGGATCATATTGTCATACGCGTTGTCAAGGGAGAATGCATCGACCTCACGCTGCATAAGATTATGACAATAAAGGCTTTTTGATTTTGGCTTCTACGGCAATCGAGAAATGACGGCAACAGGAGCACACACGTGACTCAAGTATGTTTGCTCTCGTGATGAATGTAAGTAGTCTGACTATATTTTGCCTGGTGGAGGACCATCACTCCTCCTCGGTTACTGATTTAGTCTGCTTGGGTTGCTTGAAGCGTTTACCTATTACCCTAAGCTGAGCAGTGAGCATGCTATTACTAACTTTGTTTTTGAGAATGAAATGCCATTATTTGATTTAGGTAAAGAAAAACAAGGTTAAGATAACGGCATGCCTCGTCCTTCAGTACTAGTGCTACCTATGATGAAGTAGATCATCATTTTCGTCCTCTTTCATCTGTTGAAAATATTGGAAGAATCCGGACTTGGACTTCGTGAAGCATCCTCGAGTCCTTTCAGTACGTGCTGCTTTGCGAGATATTTTCTTTATCCAGCCCAATGCAGACGCTTTGATGTTAAGGTGGCTCGTGCTACTCCATTGCTATTTTATCACCTTGCAGTAATCAATTTTGAACTCTCATTTTGATACTCAGTTTCAAACAAATCATAGTACTGATTGAAAACCGGTGGAATTCTGGTCATTTGTGGTTAAAGTTATATTACTGTTACCTCAAGTAATGCATCCTGCTATTTTGTATGTGGAGGATCCTTGAAGCATATGCACCCAAGGGATCATATTCATCTTGTTTAGGGATCCACGACGACCCCACAAAAAGGATGAGTGAGTAGGTGCAAAAATTCTAATGATGAGGGTGGGAAATTTGATCATCACCATGAATAATTGGACTCTCGCAGACTCGACGAGGCCTGTAGAATTGGAGTTCGTCAGAGTGGCACCAGAGTGGTTGGCCGAACATCCACGAAGAAAGTATCACGTGCTTCGAAAAGTGAAGCAACAACTTAGACACAAGACAAAGTTGAGGCGAGAGGGTAGACTTTCAATAGTATCACTATCTGGTCACGGTGTAACTCAATTAGTAATATGACGTTTTTCGTTCTTTGATTTGTTAGAGGGGAAAGCAACAACTCATACTCACTCAACCACAGACCGTGGTTAGACGTCAGGAGCAAAGAACCTCTCCTTCCTTCGTTTCTCTCATCTAACAAAGGAAGAGATTTTTGATGCCGTGCAGAAGACAGTGGGGAATACAGATTGGAAGAATCCTGTTCTCGGTCAGCTCGAAGGTGCAATCGACTACGACTCTTACCTTATGTTGAGCAGGTTGAAATGTAAATCTTGATAGATGATAAGTATGATGGACAAGAAGGATCTTCTGTCACTCTAGAACTGTGACGATGTAGCTTAACTGAAGGATGCTTATGCAAGCACTCACATTGCAAGTGGAGAGCAGTGACATGAGAACAGTGACGGAATTACACAGCAATTCTATGTACAGGCACTGCTAAGGGTAGAAGTTGAAGCATGAAGCTAGAGTCGTACTGGATTCTATGTCTTCTGCCTAGACTTTTCACTGCAACTACAAGCAATAGTTGAACAGAGAGGGTTTGATAGTATCGACTGTTGAGGTAGCAACTTCAAGGTATGATCTAGTTTGCAACATTGGTTAGGTCCATAGTGGACGACAAGGATTGGAATTCGATTATTGGGCGATAAAAAACCATTTTTTCGAGGATTCGCCTCAAATTGAAGAGTGAGACTCAACTTTTCAAGCTTTCGAGGGCATTTGAATTGAATTGCTTGGCGATAAAAGACCTTTTTTTCGAGGATTCGCTTCAAAATGAAGGCCTATACTCAACTTCTCAAGTTTTCGAGATGTAGGCGCCGACAGTGTGTCTTTCTAACATGAGTACAGTCTCTAGTTAAGCACTTAAAATGGCCAACGTCATATCAAAAACGTAGAATGTTGCTTTCATCGAGTAAGTGCCTCTCCTCATCCTTATTCTCTTTAAGGTCGAGGTCGCCCTCTATAGAGTCCTAGGGGAACACCCACGGGGAGTCGTGCTCCACCCCCATCCTTTTCCCTGACCCTCTCGCCCCTGCCTTCCGGGCCTCCTGTTGGGTCCCTACTGGTCTCCCTGCAATAAAGGCAACCCCGTCAGTTTCCCTGACCCTCCTGTGGGTTCTCTCCACTGGTCTCCCGGCAGCCACGGGCCCCCCGGTTGCCTTTGCGGGGAGACCAGTGGGGACCCAACAGGAGGCAGGGGCGGGAGGGTTGGGAAACTGGGTGGAACACAACCCTCCATAGGTTTCCCCGTAGGCCTCTATCGAGGGCGATCTCGATCCTACCCTGATTCTCTCCCCATCGTCCTAAAGCTAATCCTTCCTTTTTCATATTGGTAAAGGATCCGCAGGAGCAAAAGGACTTCTTTCCCTTGGACGCACGTTGCGACTTCGCTAGGGATGTGCCGAGTGGCAACGCTTTGGATCGAGGTCCGCAGCACTCTTTCCGCGATCTTCATCAGGAAGCAAGGGATCGAAGGCAAGCGCGCGAGGAGTACTTCGGTCGCGCTGCGGCTCCGACTCCGTCGCCGTCTAAGAGTTATGGCTTTAGCATATTCATTTTCACCTTAAGAAGCACAAGCATCTTCGAGTTTGACGTGTTTTCAGGAGAGAAAATGGTCAACGATACACTGCAGGATGCATATTGGTAAGGTCTAACAGCAGCAGAGACGCAAGAGAAGACGGAGGGCCAGCACACAGATAGAGCCTGAAGAAGATCCAGAGATCGAACTGGTGGTCGAAGTGAAGGACGGCAAACCAGTGGAATTGATCGACTGAGTCGTGCAAGGTCTTACTTGTTTGGACAAACATTTTTTTGTAATACCAACTTTCTCTATGGATGTATGTTGTACTACTTGCATACTTGATAACCGCCGTCTTCTTGCACTCGCGTGAGTACAGATGTTTGGATCACTGTAGTGCACGCGTACAGTTGCACAATGTACCGATGTAGCGCCGGAGGCAATCGGTCAAAGAGTCGAAATTTCAAATTTACGGTGCGCTTGATAAAAAAGAGAGCTGGAGACTTGTTTTTGTCGGTATTAGGAGCAACATCTTGTTCATCGCATAGTCTGTGTCTGTTCAACGTAGGATCTGTACATAGATATTCCGAGGCTAAAAGAACGTCAGGGCAACTTCTAGGCTCCGTCCTCTCGGTTCAGACAAACGAGATCTCTATCCACCGAAAAGACGCTGCAGTTGACAGAGCCACAGAAAAAGCACTAGCACTTGCAACGAGTAAATCTAAACCGCCAGAAAAGGAGAAGGATATGTTGTGAACTTCTGCGAAATAAATGCATTTTGAGGTTGTTGAAGGCATGATTGATATCATCGCGGATAGCGCTGAAGATACGGCTGCACTGCAGAATCATGCTCAAGGAAATTGTTTTTGGAGTTGGTTCTTGATTGAAGACATCGATGATTCTTGAAACACTTTGTGCTAGTCTAAGTACTTACAACAAGCACAAGCCAACATTTCTGTTTCTTATTAAGCCAAGAGAACAAGTGCAAAATGATGTCCTTGTCGTCGGAGAGAGGTGCCATGATTTTTTCATGCAACTTGTGACGAGCGCGACCAGTTACCGCGCGTCGGATGAAGATGCCGAAGGAGAGGCAAGAAAAGTCCCCATAAGGGTCGACCGAAGTTGTGTCATCATATGTGACCAAGGAGCGAAGTCTTCGTGCAGCACTCAGGCCTTTTTGCAGTCTCTCTGACGCCTACAACATTGGTGAATACGCAGTAGATATGGGCGGGAAAATAGTGTGGAGGTGACGAACAAGGTACTGCGTGTTAGTAACGAGCATAGGAGGCTGAAAGTATTGACATTGAATACGGCTACTAGAAATAAGGTTACTAGATGAAAAAATATCTCCTTGTCTAAGTCTAAAAGCGTTCTAATCATGGCGATGACCTAAGAATCTTCTACTACTACCTCAAGACTGCGATAAGTTCTAGTCGATTGATGGTATTTGTGATCTGTACCGATTTATTGTGATCTGTACTGCACTATCATGGTCGTTGAGCACCATCACAGCTTTTCAGCTACTTTGATGTGAGTCCTTCAATGTTTGAGCAAAAGGTGTCACCAGGAATTGAATTTGAATGGAAAAGCGATAAAAAGCCGTTTTTTCGAGGACTCGCCCAAGTTCAAGTTTCAAATTCGAAAGATTTCGAGCTTTCATCATAGATTTTGGCGAATCCTCGAAAAAATGACTTTTTATCGCCTTCCATTTGAATTCATTTTCTGACGAGTCTTGTTCTGTTCACTTGTTTCAGGATCTGATCAGACTCCAAGAACATACTAGACTTCAACCATGCTATCTAATGCAAGCCAGATTGCTGCGTATCTGTAATCATACACATCGTTGTGTATGAAAGTAGCAAAGTAGTTCTACGAGGTACAGCTTCTCATCATGACTTCTAAGATTGGAACGATCCTAGGATTCTGACTTGCTACAATTCCTAGAAGAGAAACCTGCTTATTTTCATCGACTCTCAGTCTCAGTGTATTGCAGCTAGATATCGCTCCTATTACCATGCGAATCTTAGTGATTTGTTACCCATCGTCTTGTGGTAGGAATTGATGATTTTCATCTTCAACTTTCAAGGAGGACCCGGAGACTATTACGATTCATATACTGGTGTGATATCCCTGAGATGATTATTAAGTTGAATCACGACAGGGATACACACATCTATCATGACATGGCAGCAGATTGAAGACGAAGTCGTGCGGTTCCTCGTTTGTTATTGTTTCTCTGTGAAACCATTTTGCTCACAGGGAACTTAAGCAGGATCCCTAGTCCTGCCTCATCTCGTATTGTAAAGCGTCTCCTGAGTGGTCGCGGAAACGAGGCGATGATTTGAGACGAGGTCTTTGTTCAGCAGCAGGAGGAGGAAAAGATCATATCAAAGCGTAGTGTTGTAACTACTCTAGTACCCGCTTGCTAGAGGAATCATGAAGAATATTGTTACAAAAGGTTAGGACAAAAATGGTCCCTAGAGCAATGTTCGACGTTGCAGCGATATTCACAATATTCTGCCCGCTATCGCATATGTAAAGATTTGATGGTAACGCGACTAGTTTTGATAGTGATGTTGAAAGAGATAAGTAGTCCTTTTCGTGGGTAGTGACAATGGTGTCATGAAAGAGAAAGGTGAAGCAGAAGTAAAAGGCTGTTATTTACTCTCCATGATTTCTTGTCATCGTCTACTTGTACTTTGATGCCATTCCTCGTTTTTTCAATTTCGTTCACGAGTTGGAGACACGGCAGTGGTCTTCATTAACAAGAATGGTGTGTACGGGTCTTTGTTCATGGCGTTTTTGTCAGTGGTTGTGCTGAACGACTTACGAAAGTGCGCATGCTCGTCTTTCGGTGAGGCGGGAGGGTCGTGACCTCTTTGGTCCTTGCTAGGAGGAAGCTCACTATTGGAGGCAAAGAATATAGACGATGAGCAGTAGTTGCGCCTAGTACTAACAAGGCTGGGAGCACAGCGAGGACGCATGTAGACATACACATACCACGCAACAAGCATCAAAGTTTGTGTAAGGCTCACATTCGCAATTCATTTCCGCAAGGTTTCTCGTCTTCAGGTTTCTTTGCATGGAAGCGTGAAGAGATGAACAGCTTAACAGCGGAAGATGAATCACAATCACTATCACAGTGAGCTGCTCTAATTTGTCGGGCTAGTACACAAGATGAGACCTTGCACGACAGGAGTTCCATGCCTGTCAGGAGTAGCCGGCGGAAATGTAGGAGAGGATGCGGTGGAGGCGCTGCGCCAGCTGGTGAATAGTCAAAATGACAACATCGCGACATTGGAGCGAAAGCTTGAACAGGTTCAAAGGCGGCTAGAGTTTCGAGAGAAGCACAATTTGGAGGAGAGCAACCTAAATTATGGCTCACGAGAGCAACCTAAATTACGTCTCGAAAGTGTTTGTGGTTGTTTGGTAAAAGAAGTTGGTTAAGTGTAGCGCTTAAGTTATTACTTCCCGTCTCACTTCCGAACCGCTTTGCAGTTCTTATTAGCTTAAAATCTTGCGTGAGTTATCACCGTGACGAACAACTGCGTCGACGCCCTTAGGCAGTCTGCACTGGACTTTGTGCGAGATTTATTGCGTTGCGTCGGAATTCATTCTCACAGCCACGATAGATTATTCAGCTGCTTCAATTTCCTTCTTGAAGATGGAGCCTGAGGCTGTGAACGTAGGAGATGAATTATTGCGCAGTCTAACCAAACCAGCAGCAGTTTGATTCGATTTTTGAAAAGTTACGACACCGGCCAGAAATCGAGGATGTCAACAGGTACACTTGCCTCCTTGGTTTATGTCTATGCACTTGGCGATGACAGATGCTGTGCTGCTTTGGATCATCAACATCAGCAAAATGGAGCGCTGCGTGTACACGCTTGGAAACTGAGCAGCTACAGAGCAGAAGCTGCACCATACGAGTCTACTTAGATGTGTGGAGAGTTCACTAGTATGGAGAGTGCATGCACCATAAAGTGTGAACGCACCTACCACAAACATGCACGCTGCTGGCATCGATCAGAGTTCGAAGTAGTGGATTCTCTTGATGAAATTGTGTTTGGTTGCTGAGATGTTCAGACTAGTGTCTTTCGTGTTAAGACTTACTTCTAGAAGTGAATTGAGTTCATCTCTAATGTTTTGAAACTTGTTGAATTTGGGATAAAACTGAAAATTCTTGGATTATCCAAGAATTTTCAGTTATATGCTATCTTTTTGAAATTCATTTCCTGAGGGTGAGCTTTAGTTCTGACACAGTGACAGTTGAATCGACAAAAACTCTGTCATTCTCATACTTCTGTGTATCTACATAGTCTCAGGAGTGTAGTAGTATACACAGTATGATGCTACTAAGTTGTCTGTTTCTCACACAAATGAATAGTCCAGAACTTCTTAGAGCTTTCTTTTTAGGTTTGGGAACTTGAGAGTTTTTTAGAAGGGCTCTTTCAGCAGCAAGAATGCTTATTCCTTATCTTGTAGCTGTATGTAGTGGCTGTCATATCTTCTGGCTAAAATCATTATAATACTACATGCACTAGTTCTTGGTGCTGGTGGAGATGAGAGCAGCATGCTGATAGGCAGTGGCAGGTTCTATTCTGTTGCTATTTGATCAAACAAGTAGATCATGTCCTCGGACTCGGAGGACAGACATCACCAGTAAATGCGCATTTGACTTACTTCTACATGTTGAACATGATCATGCTCATGCCTCTTCTAATATTTATACTGGGTTGTGTATTGGTGTGGAGCTTGGAAAACAAGAAGGCGGTAGCGGTTCGGGCGATGATGGCGGACCAGATTGAAGAATACATTGCAAAAATAAAGTTGATGGTCATTGAAGGGCATCCCAAATGGCTTTACCGCTTTCTCAAGTACCATTTGGCGTACTGCGAGAAATGGCTTGACCGCTGGTGGGCGATTTACGGCCGACGGCTTTACATGCGTATGAAGCGCACTGGACGGCGATTTTGGTATGGTCTCGCCGAAGTAGCTGAGCAAGAAGCGAGGTAAATCAGGACAGATCTCAAAGAAGTGATGTCCCCCTATCCTCACGTAACCGTGGATATGCTGCTCGCGCGGGATGATTTGTGGATATGCTGTACCTGGTGGTGCCCATGTGCCACATTCTCAATTATGGACATTCGGATTCAACTGCTTTGTCGCACTAAACGAACTTCAACTCCTAGTGTCGTGTGATAGTTGTTGCTATCATCTTTCCGTCGTAACGACGTTGAAAACCACTGCAGCTCTTAGATAAAAATATTGGAGTCTTCCATCTTCTAAAGCGATTCGAGTAATCATCGAATCTCTGCTTCAGATGCGTTTGGCCCGCCAGCGAAAAGATGCACCTGTGCCGACGTCTTCAAGCGGTGAGAGCTCAGTAGTTGGCCCTCCTCAAACGGCGTACGAGATCGCGCTGGAGCAGATTCAGAAGCCCTTCATGAAACCCAGGAAACTCATATGTTAAGGCTCTATTTCCTAATCTAGGTTGCCGATGTTAGTTTAGAGGTTGATAAGGTACTTGTGTATCCTTGGAATGATGAAGAAGGGCTTTGCAAGTAGGGCAAAAGCATCTTTCTAGGATGCGTCTCAGGATGGATTAAGGCGAGCGCTAAGCATCGCTGTCGAACCTCGGAGACAAGGGTCTTCAACCAGACCGAGATCCAGGAGATCGGGTGAACCTAGGACTGGTAGAGCCATGGTGGACAAAATTACCAAAAAGCTGGCACGAATCTCAGAAGTCGGAGGAACAGAAGAAAGAGGAAGCAGAAGATGCGAAACGGTTCCAACGTGAGGAATTTCAAGCGACAGGCGGACAGCCGCAATTGCGCATGACGATTAAGGTCCCATCTTCTCTAATGATCTGTGATGTCAGTTCATCTTGGGAATCTTTGACAGGGACGAGATTGAGAAAAGATCCCAGTGTAAGTACATACAAAAGGTAATAAAGGACCAAGTTTTCGTTTGAAAGGACGTCGAAGAAAAGGTCTTACTAGAATGGTGGCAGGTCGTTGCCAATGCCTTCAAATTGGTCATGGTCGTGGTACATCAGGCTGAAAGGTCCTCTAAGTCAGAATATGTTGGTGAAAAGTTTGCAAGCAGGGTTCGGCGGTACTACAAACCAGGGAGCAAGCTGGATCATATTGTCATACGCGTTGTCAAGGGAGAATGCATCGACCTCACGCTGCATAAGATTATGACAATAAAGGCTTTTTGATTTTGGCTTCTACGGCAATCGAGAAATGACGGCAACAGGAGCACACACGTGACTCAAGTATGTTTGCTCTCGTGATGAATGTAAGTAGTCTGACTATATTTTGCCTGGTGGAGGACCATCACTCCTCCTCGGTTACTGATTTAGTCTGCTTGGGTTGCTTGAAGCGTTTACCTATTACCCTAAGCTGAGCAGTGAGCATGCTATTACTAACTTTGTTTTTGAGAATGAAATGCCATTATTTGATTTAGGTAAAGAAAAACAAGGTTAAGATAACGGCATGCCTCGTCCTACAGTACTAGTGCTACCTATGATGAAGTAGATCATCATTTTCGTCCTCTTTCATCTGTTGAAAATATTGGAAGAATCCGGACTTGGACAACGTGAAGCATCCTCGAGTCCTTTCAGTACGTGCTGCTTTGCGAGATATTTTCTTTATCCAGCCCAATGCAGACGCTTTGATGTTAAGGTGGCTCGTGCTACTCCATTGCTATTTTATCACCTTGCAGTAATCAATTTTGAACTCTCATTTTGATACTCAGTTTCAAACAAATCATAGTACTGATTGAAAACCGGTGGAATTCTGGTCATTTGTGGTTAAAGTTATATTACTGTTACCTCAAGTAATGCATCCAGCTATTTTGTATGTGGAGGATCCTTGAAGCATATGCACCCAAGGGATCATATTCATCTTGTTTAGGGATCCACGACGACCCCACAAGAAGGATGAGTGATTAGGTGCAAAAATTCTAATGATGAGGGTGGGAAATTTGATCATCACCATGAATAATTGGACTCTCGCAGACTAGACGAGGCCTGTAGAATTGGAGTTCGTCAGAGTGGCACCAGAGTGGTTGGCCGAACATCCACGAAGAAAGTATCACGTGCTTCGAAAAGTGAAGCAACAACTTAGACACAAGACAAAGTTGAGGCGAGAGGGTAGACTTTCAATAGTATCACTATCTGGTCAAGGTGTAACTCAATTAGTAATATGACGTTTTTCGTTCTTTGATTTATTAGAGGGGAAAGCAACAACTCATACTCAAACAACCACAGACCGTGGTTAGACGTCAGGAGCAAAGAACCTCTCCTTCCTTCGTTTCTCTCATCTAACAAAGGAAGAAATTTTTGATGCAGTGCAGAAGACAGTGGGGAATACAGATTGGAAGAATCCTGTTCTCGGTCAGCTCGAAGGTGCAATCGACTACGACTCTTACCTTATGTTGAGCAGGTTGAAATGTAAATCTTGATAGATGATAAGTATGATGGACAAGAAGGATCTTCTGTCACTCTAGAACTGTGACGATGTAGCTTAAATGAAGGATGCTTATGCAAGCACTCACAATGCAAGTGGAGACATGAGAACAGTGACGGAATTACACAGCAATTCTATGTACAGGCACTGCTAAGGGTAGAAGTTGAAGCATGAAGCTAGAGTAGTACTGGATTCTATGTCTTCTGCCTAGACTTTTCACTACAACTACAAGCGATCGTTGAACAGAGAGGGTTTGATAGTATCGACTGTTGAGGTAGCAAATTCAAGGTATGATCTAGTTTGCAACATTGGTTAGGTCCATACTTATAGTGGACGATCAGGATTTGAATTCGATTCTTGGGCGATAAAAAGCCATTTTTTCGAGGATTCGCCTCAAATTGAAGAGTGAGACTCAACTTTTCAAGCTTTCGAGGGCATTTGAATTGAATTGCTTAACGATAAAAGACCTTTTTTTCGAGGATTCGCTTCAAAATGAAGGCCTATACTCAGCTTCTCAAGTTTTCGAGATGCCTCAGAATAAGATGATCTAGGCCCCGACAGTGTGTCTTTCTAACAAGAGTACAGTCTCTAGTTAAGCACTTAAGATGGCCAACGTCATATCAAAAACGTAGGATGTTGCTTTCATCAAGTTAGTGCCTCTCCTCATCCTTATTCTCTTTAAGGTCGAGGTCGCCCTCATCTATAGAGTCCTTCGGGAACACCCACGATGGGTCGTGCTCCACCCCCATCCTTTTCCCTGACCCTCTCGCCCCTGCCTTCCGGGCCTCCTGTTGGGTCCCTACTGGTCTCCCTGCAATAAAGGCAACCCCGTCAGGTTCCCTCACCCTCCGGTGGGTTCTCTCCACTAGTCTCCCGGCAGCCACGGGCCCCCCGGTTGCCTTTGCGGGGAGACCAGTGGGGACCCAACAGGAGGCAGGGGCGGGAGGGTAGGGAAACTGGGTGGAACACAGCCCTCAAAAGGTTTCCCCGTAGGCCTCTATCGAGGGTGATCTCGATCCTACCCTTATTCTCTCCCCATCGTCCTAAACCTAATCCTTCCTTTTTCATATTGGTAAAGGATCCGCAGGAGCAAAAGGACTTCTTTCCCTTGGACGCACGTTGCGACTTCGCTAGGGATGTGCCGAGTGGCAACGCTTTGGATCGAGGTCCGCAGCACTCTTTCCGCGATCTTCATCAGGAAGCAAGGGATCGAAGACAAGCGCGCGAGGAGTACTTCGGTCGCGCTGCGGCTCCGACTCCGTCGCCGTCTAAGAGTTATGGCTTTAGCATATTCATTTTCACCTTAAGAAGCACAAGCATCTTAGAGTTTGACGTGTTTTCAGGAGAGAAAATGGTCAACGATACACTGCAGGATGCATATTGGTAAGGTCTAACAGCAGCAGAGACGCAAGAGAAGACGGAGGGCCAGCACACAGATAGAGCCTGAAGAAGATCCAGAGATCGAACT